GTTTTTCATAAAGCGAGCTTAATGATATATAATCTCCACAGACAGCTATTTAAATCCCACCAATCTCCAGCTGTTTACATGTTGTAAGCTTGTTAAGAGCATCTATATCGATTGATCAAGGCCCCCAGTGTCACTAGAGCTTTCTGGTATAACTATAGGCTGGAAACAAAATCAATCAATCAATCAATAAAAACAGTGTTAATTACTTTCTGTCCAGTAAATTTCTTATATCAGTCAGCCTGCTCAGGACAGTTTGGCCGTCAGCTCTCCTCTCTGCTCCTCAGGAGCTGCTGCTGACAGGACATCTGCTTCTGAGGACGGAGAAAGCCAAACGAGGGTCGGAGTGGGGTGTGAATTGAACAGATGGAGGCTTTAGAATTTTTACGCACTGCTGATGTCTCGCTTTTGATATGGATTCACTGTAAGAGTTGTTATTTTTAGCTGATACACGTACAACAATCTCTGCCATTTCATCAACATTTATGTGATTATTTGCCTGTCACCTTTTTTCTGACTCTGACACACAAAGATGACGTCTCCCATTCTTAATCTCATCTCCCAGGCTCTCATCGGCTTGTTTGTTTTTTCGTCTAGTGGAAACGGTCAATGAGCATAACAGCAGATCAGTTTGAATTTGATTTAATGACAAAAGAAGAAAAATAATCATACAGACAAATATCATAAAATATATTTAGTAATTTATAAAATAAACAAAAATAATTTTGCTTGGTGCTCAAATAATTTCAAGTAATAATTTTACAAACAACTAGAAACAACCTCTTGATAATATTTGTATTCTGTAAAATGAATAAATTATAAAAACAGTGGCTTTGGATGTTCAAAAATGTCATCATTAAATGTAATCTGTGGTTTTGCTGAATTGTCCAGTACTAACAGCAGGAGGCACAAAAGAGATGATTAAAGTTATTTCAAAGATCAAATAGAACATAAGTGAAGATCAAGTATGTTCCTCAGAAAGATGAGCTGTTGGTGCAGCGTTGAGGTTATTTTACAGGTTCTCTGTTGAGCAGATAATCTCTTTCTTGTTCCTTTGAATTGCTTAATACATGCTTGGCTTTTTGTTTTGTAATGCATATGAGGAAGCTCATTACCATGTCCTGCACCTGTCACACACACACACACACACACACACACACACACTTAGAGAGCTGTGACCCCTCCCCCGCCCACATCTCAATGAATGTGTCGAGAACAAAGACCAACCTATACAAAAAGCACATACGCAGCCTTATGCTAAGAATATGTCCAATTACAGGGTAAAAAATTTAGTTTTATTTGTTTACAACCAAACTGCTTGTCAGTCTTTATCAAAACAAAATCAAGGTAACATCTGTGTTTTTTTAATTTATTTGGCATTGAATGGCTGTAAAGGTGCTTTATTAAAGAAAAAAATTGGTTAGTAGAAGTGACACCAACAGTTTAAGGGTTAAAACAACTTTATGGAACTTAATTACTTAGATTTCAGCCTTTGTTAAATAACAGACACTCTTGTGTTTGAGAAGTGATAACATACTCTATATTTCAGTTACTTTTTTACATGCATGCCCAAGAAAGTCCCCACTAGAAAAAACATCATACTGAACAATACATTCAGAAAACGTTTACATTTACTGAAAAGAGACCTTTTGTACTCTGTAGTTCCAAACACTAAGTCGCTCTTCTTGTTCTTGGGAACTTCAGGAACTCTTATATTAATAAAATATATAATAATAATGTAATATATATAATTTACCATACATTATATTTAACATTTGATTTACACAAAGAAGCCATGACAAATAAATGGTAATTTATTTGCAATATTTACACATACAGTGTAGATTGAGAAGATCAAATGTGATGCATAGCTTATGATAGGATATTATAGCGAAGGTAAGTGTGTCAAATAATGCATTAGGAAATAGATTAGCGTAATATGGTGGTTTGTTTAGCCAAGAAACTTTAAGATTGATTATTAATAATCAAAGGTGGGAGAGCAAGACAGGGATCAATGACTGAAACAACTTAGAGAGAATACAAGAATAGAAAGGCAAAAGATTCTAAAAAGGAAAATGCATTATAAAGTTAGATATAATAATAATAATAATAATACACTTTATTATTTATATCGTACCTAATGTTACAAAGTGCTTTGCAAAAAGAATAAAACCATGCAAGATTTACATTTAGCTGATGCTTTTATCCAAAGCGACTTACAATTGCTATATATATATATATATATATATATATATATATACACACGGAGCAAGTGTCTTACTCAGGGACACATTAGTGTCTCATGGTGGATTCGAACCTGGGTCTCTCACACCACCCGCCATAAAATGAGAACAAGGCCAAAGGACATACCCACCAACACGTCCTCATATGGGTCGATTGTCAAATGTCCCATTTAAGACAGTTTTCCAAAATAACATGTATGTCGTATTAAACCTGTTCCTCAAAAAGTCACATGACATTGTTTACCATTACATGTGGTAAACATTGTGAAACAGTGGTAATTTTGTTGAGTGTAAGCAACAAAACCTCTTGGTTAGGTTTAAGAAAAGATTGTGGTGTGGGTTCACATAAGTAGTCATCTACAAAATGAAGAACCTAAAACCTCGTGTTTGACGTCCGTTCACACGGGACTCAAATCTCAGTGTCCAGAGTGAAAGAAATCCTTAGTGGTGGTATATATATAATAAAATATAATGCAGTAATCAGTAGCTTATGATTATTTTTTGCTTAACAAATGCTTTCAAAAAGTGGTGGGGACATGTCACACAACACACACAAGAAACAGAAAGCAGAGGTGGTGGGGGCTAGTAAGAGATGTGATTGGACCAGCCCAATGTCAGTATAGAAAATTATTATATTATTATACTCTCGTATAAAAGTATGGGACTAAAAGGTCAGAGATATAACAAGAAGATAGGCCATGAAGAGCCTCAAAAGTAATCAATAAAAATGTAAAATCTTTTCTAAAACATACTGGGGGCCATTATAATGAAGCTGAAACAGAAGTGATGTGATCATATTTTAAAAGCCTGGCATGATGATATAATTTATAAAGGCATATTTTTGATATATTTCTAAGAAGGTAAAAGCACGATTGCACAAGCTTTGTGGTGTGCTGCTCGAAACTTGACATGACTATCGAACCAGACGCCAAGGCACCACTGATGCTCATAGATGGGTACCAATGATCTTCAAAGCAGTTTTAATCGAACACCCATCATCAAGCTCATTCTCCAAAATTTAAAGTTACTCACTGCTTCTACTACTTACTATAAACTGGACCAAATCCACAATCCTCCCACTAGGATTTAACAGCTGCTCTGCTTAGTTTAGTTCTCTGTGACTTTTAGTTATTTGGTCAGTTCAGTATCTGTTATATAGTAGTTGTGTTTTGGGTTTCAGTCCTGTCTGTCTGTTGTCTTGTCTCCAGTCTTCTCGTGTGTGTGTGTGTGTGTGTGTGTGTTTGCATTTTGATCTGATGTTTGTGTCTTGTGGAGTTTGTCTATGTTGTTCTGTCTTCTGCTAGTTCTGTGTGGTTGTTCTGGTCTGATCGGTGCCTGCCTCAGTTCTTGGTCAGTTCTGTTCCTGTCTGATGTTTGTTATTAGTTTCCGTACCATCGTGCTTGGGTTCTGCCTGTCTGCTAGGTGTTGATTTACGTTCTCTTCCGGTTTCGATATTTAATCTGATTATGATCATTCTGCTTTAGTCTGTTCTGTCCTCATTATTAAGCTTATTATTCAGTTTGCCTGTTTGTCCTGTTCTATTTGGCCTCTGTGTTTTTGCTGTTTGATTCTTGGCCTTTTGCAACCTGTCTGTTGTCTCTGGGTTTGTCTGTAGCCTATCTGTATTGTTGGTGTTTCAGTCTGTGTTTCCTGTCGTGTTTCTGGTCTGTCTGTGTTATGGTTAGTTTGATCTGTTCTGTGTTGGGTTCTTGTTAGATTCATGTCTGGAGTTTCAGTAACCTGTGTTCTGACTGTTACTCCAGAATCCCTCTGCCTGCCTGTCTCTCTTTTTTCCCCTGCTGTCTCTCTGCCTGACTGTCTCGTTAGTCCTGATCCTTCTCACCTGTGTTGCTCCCGCCTGCTCATTAGTTCCTGGTGTTAAATGTTTGCTGTTTCTATTCAGTCTCTATCTGGTCATTGTTGTATGATGAGTGTTCTGTCTGTTGCTGTGCTGTCGTCTTGGACTTGTTGCCAGTCCCTGCAATCTGTAAGCCTTGATTCGCCCTTTTGTGTTGGATTAAAATGCCTAAACTTGATATCAGCTATCCAGTGTCTTGCATTTGGGGTCTCTCCTGCTTTGCACTTCATCAAACCCCTGACAGCAGCAGCTTTTACACCACCTTTCCCACTATGCGTGTATGGTCACGTCACATATGTAGGGATTCACATTCCCTCCAGGCTGTCAGAGCTGTTCATTCTAAACTTCACCCACTTCTCAAAATGATAGATGATGAGCCCCAGAGCTGGAGCCAATATCGTAAAAATATCTTCAATAACAGCTTGGTCTCAAGTACAACATTGGGAGTAATCACTCCCTTTAATATCTACAACTCAAATCTTCCATTCAAACTAAATGGAACATGAAGGTCATCAACCTGAATTCAATTAACATAATTCTTCAACCCAAATCCTATATGGAATATATAGTTATATCCCAATCAGGCAAAACTATATTTTTGTTATTTTTACTTATTTATTATATTTTGCTCCTCCTCGCACATACTGGCACATTCCCCTCTGGTCGCACTTACGCATATATGAATACACAACACACTATCATACAGAGAAACACATACAAGTGCAGTTCTCCAACTAATGAAACCAAATTAAAATCTACCAGTTATGTCTTACTGTTTTGTGTTCTCTGTTTATTTCACCTTTATTTATGTCCAATTGCACTAACAAATAAAGTATTGAGGACCTGTTGGTGAGCTATTTGATCAATCATGTTCACCATCTTGGATTTCTCTCTTGTTCAGGGAAGTGTGAGGACAGCTTGGCCACTCCTCTACCCTACAGCTCCTTCACCAGTTCATCAGTGTATGCGCGAGGATATGGAGCTGGTTACGCCAAACTCAATCGGAAACAAGGTATGTCTTTGTGAAGAGAAGCACCATACAGTTCCTGCTGTTGTGTATGTGCATGAGACCATTTTAAAAATGTTGTTGGTTGGTGATGCTAATGATACATTAATCACTGCATATATTAGTATTTTGTATAATTGGTGATTCCGGTTAGGTCCGGTTTGATGGATTTCTTCCAATATGCAGTGCACATAGCAACTTACTGTATATGCAAATAGGGATAAGTGGTCTTCAGGGTCAGTGTTCATATTCTTCTGTGCAAATGTGCATGTTTACCAGCATTCATTTACTCTTCTATTGATTTGTTCCCAAATCAGACCTTTTCTAGTCACATGGATCAGTGGTCAGCTCAATCAAATTTGAGTATAATGATATTTTAATTATTTAGATAAAATGTGATGACTCTGTGTGACTCTTTTTTTCAACACCGTGGAGTCCTTCCTCTACCTGGGCACTATCATCACCCATGACCTTAATTCGGAGCTGAACATCAGCTCTCTCACTGATAAAACCCAACAGAGGATGTACTTACTGTGGCAGCTATAGTACAACCTGCCAAAGACAAAAATGGTGCACTTCTACACCGCCATCACTGAGTCCAGTGCTGCAGCTGCCAAGGACAGGGCAGACTTGCACCTTGTCGTTCACTCCGCCTGCGTTCTTGTACCGCTTCAGGAAAAATTGTGGCCTTTGAGTCACTCCCCTGCGGCCCACCTGGAACAAAACCTCACACTACGATAGCAGTAGAACTGGTCCAGACTGCTTTAGATCCGCTCGCTAGACAGCATTCATTCTACTATTCCACCACTCTTATGTTCCCTGCATCAATTGACAGATTGACCTCTTCCAATCACAGCACAGGCGATGCTCATATTTACTTTACATTTTTTTTGTATATTTTTCTTTACATTTTTTAGTTTGATGTCAAACTAAAAAGAGCATCATGCAATGAATGTTTTTTTAATAATACTGGCAAGACTCCCTGTGATGACATTATCCATGGAACTGGAGTTTCTTAAAGAAACAGTATATACAAAACTGTGCTTAAAGGTTCAGTTTGTAAGTTTTAGTGGCATCTAGTGGTGAGGGTTGCGAATTGCAAGAAATGGCTCATGGTGCATTCATGTGCTCCTCTGACAAAATAAGTACTTTATAATAAATGTATTAATTCTAATGGCAATTGTAATTTCAGCAGTGAAAACGCTAACTTTGTACTTTTTCTCCATGAGATTTTACATATCACATATCAATTTAATTTCTACATCCAACATAAAAGGCAATGATAACTTTCAACATATAGTCCTCTTTTAATATCTTTACATAATATATGTATGACTACCCCTGGCAACGTTTTTATTGTTTGTGTCTTGTTATATATTTGTACACTGTTCTGTATACTTCTTTATGTCCCATTTACACTTTATTCCTTTTTTTGCAACAATGATTTAAGGAAGAAAAGAAATCTGATTATTCCGACACCACATGAATGCACCATCACTCACCACCTCTTCCTTTCTATGATAGCTGATGATACACGGAGCAACTTTTAGAGCAATGGTGCTGGACAATGTTGCTGGCAATGTTAAGCTGATGATACACGGAGCAACTTTTAGAGCAATTGTGCAGGGCAACGTTGCCATCAATGGTAATGAGTAAAGATTACTACCGTAATCCCCTTCCCCCACCACTCTGCCACCCACCCCGTACCGCTGCTATCCGTTCAAAACCTAGTCGGACATGCCACTAGCAAGATTGCCCAGCAACATTGCTCAAAAAGTTGCCCCGTGTATCATCAGCTTAAGTGTACCTCAACCTTTAAGATAATTTTGTTCCAAATGTTCCAGATCCATCTTTCTTCTGTTCTTCTGTTTCCCTTCCTCCCATTTTTCACCATCTGCACATTTATAACTCCCACAAAAATAGGCGCTGGAGGCTGGTCGCCCTTGGATACAGACCGTTACCAGTGGTTGCAGGTGGACCTGGGTTCTAGGAAGCAGGTGGTTGCCATAGTGACACAGGGTCGCTACAGTAGCTCTGATTGGACAAGCAAGTACCGGCTGCTTTACAGTGACACAGAGACAAACTGGAGGCCTTATCTACAGGATGGAAACATCTGGGTAAGAAAGAATCTTACGTCCTCTATGGTAATATCATCTCTTTTAACCCCTTGAAACCAGTTATGAAATTTAAATCATTCTGCTGAAGTCAGTGAAGACCGGTCTTTCCAGTGACAGTGGCGGTTTCTCAGATGTCGGGCATAAATGCCCATAAATAATTTTGATTGACGATATAGCTTCAGATCATACCCCATAATCATCACATTTAGATTAGTCATTGTTGTGAGGGAAATTGTCTTTACAACAATGGTTCCATTGCAAACAGGATCTGCAGGAATGTTGCAGATTTATCAAAATGTAAAAACCAACTACGCACTAGTCCACATACACACCAAAAAATTAAATGAAAAGGGAGAAAAACGGAAAATAAGTAATAATGTTTAATATATAATAGTAGTACAGCACTAATTAGTTACACTGTGTTACATACATGTAATACCACTGGAGGTTTGGTCTGTGTCTTGGTATTATATTTAAAACTGGGCTCAGTGGCTGAGCTTAGATTGGTTGTCAGATATCATAAAATAAAATGAATTTTCCCTTTAAAGTTGCAGTAAAACTTTCCATTGAGATAACCTTGTATATTTCTCTCAACCCTGCAATTCAGGTGGTGACTTTTCTTTAATTTCTTTAATTCACTAGAGCAAAATGTAGTATGTCTCCCTAATAAGCTGTGGTAATAAAGTCTACTGTTCAGAGGTGAAGTCCAGTAAAAACAATAAAAACTGTCCAGGTTGCATTTTAATTTCAGTATGGACGATGGCACAGAGTTCCTTATTTATATTACTCCAGTATAGTTTTCTAAACAGACACAACCACAAATAATAATAAAATAATATAATAAAATAAGAATAACAAAATATGTCACCACCTCTTTCTCGCTCATATTGATAGAGTAGAAGCATTGGGGTTGATCTCATTGAGAAATTGTGGTGTTCACTTTAACTAATTTTTATGCGAGCTGAAAAGAAGGATAACTTATTGTGATGTATTAAATTCAACACGTCCATCACAGATTCCACCCAAGTACTCTTAATTTCTCTATCCAGCTAACCAACTTTCTATCCATTGATAGAAAACAATCAAATTACCTATATTATCATAAAAAAAACCATTTTTGATTTGATAAATAAAAAAACTTGGATGACATTTTTGTATCGAATTGAACTGAAGTGTTACACAGACCATGGAGAACTATCTGCATCATGTGTTTTTCAGATATTTGAGGGGAACGTGAACAGCGAGGATGTGGTTCGTCATGAGCTGCAGCACGCCATCCTGGCTCGCTACATCCGCTTCATCCCAGTGGACTGGAGCAGGGAGGGACGTATCGGAGTTCGTCTGGAGCTCTACGGCTGCTCATATTGTGAGTACAATTGGACAAGGGAGGGAAACCTGATTCAACCAGCATATTCTGCTCTGTTATGCACTATATTTCATCAGTAAAGTTGTTTTTTTGCAGCACTGGTTAGTACATATATACATATGGGTTTCTACTTGGTGAGGTGGAGAATCTAAGTTGCTTTATGTGTGAATATGAATGGTTGTGTATGACTCTGTCTGTGATAGACTGGGCACCTGCACAGGGTCTACCTTGCCTCCCATGAACCTGTGAACCAGTACAGGATAAGCAGGAATAGATAATGGATAGATGGATGGATAGTTAAGTTTGAAAAGTTTTTTAGATGAGACCCCTTCCTAAGTCAGGACTAAGTGTCTGGCTAAATCAGACAGGTCTATTTAGGTGTGGGTTGGGCGTGCAGGGCCTTCAAGGACTCAAATTACAGACAAATCTGACTTTATTTGAAGACATTACTCTTTGCATTATGTCTGTGAGACTTCTCACCACCATAATACAATAGAAGATAATGGAATCTGTTTACATTGAGGTCTGTTTATGATCCAGAGTATTTGAAACAGAGTTTCTGGAAGAGATGTTCATGATGACTTTTTCAAATATCATTTTTTTCAATTGTTCGAGCCGTACAAAGACAGTGTCATTTACCTCTGAATTGTTGTGGCAGCAGGGGTTTTCAAAGCCTGTTATCTCAAAACCTCAGTACTTGAAACCATGTAATTTATAATGGTTTAACTGTTTAACTGTTTAACAGAAAAAGTTATCTGGCATTCTTGGATGATTAATGGTGTAATGTGACATCTAGGTTCTTGCCACCTTGGCCAAGTGCATGCTCATGGTGGGAATTGTTGGGTCTCCCAAAGTATTATTACAAAAGCGTAAGACCTGAGAAACCTATGAAACGTGCAATGATATAACTGTGAAGGTTCTCAGTCATCCAGGTTATAGGCACTAACGAACCAGCGCTATTGATCATCTTGGCAAACGACTCCACAAAGGTTAAAAATCTGAGTTTTCCTACCAGTCAGTCAGAAGTGAAGAAGTCTCTTGGATGAGGAACGAAACATCTTCTAGTATCCTCAACCAAGTCCAGTTGCTCTTGATTTTAACCTTCCCTGGATGCAATGAGATAACTTCTGTTATGAATTGGTCCTATATAAATAACATTTAAATGAATTCAGTCATTTCATCACTTGATACTGATAAACTGATTTGAATATCACAGAATGTTTCACCCTGTGACTGATTCCAGTACATGATTTAGAAGCCAAGAGGCAATGGATGCTCTCCAGGAAAGAGTCATGTCTCTGGAGCCTTGCAATGCGGTCACTCTCTGAGTCACAGATGCCCCATTTGTGGTTTTGCAAATCAGATGAGATCAAATGTATGTCAGCTATCCATATGCCATTGTTCCTTCCTCAAGGTCAATAAGATCCTAAAATACAGTTTTCATAGTATTGTCCTCATCCTGACCGTTTCAGTTTGTGACTCCGTTTTGGTTATTGAGTAGATGGAGAGTCGATTTTTTCTTTTGCGTTGTGTGATGTGTTGTGCTTTGTGTTTTGTTTTCTGTTTGTTGTTGTTAGCATTTGTTGTGGGAAACCCTTAAAGACGAGGCGATACATCTCAGGGGTTTTATCCTGGCATAATAAATATGACAATGTTGACCCCCCCCCCAGTTGTCAAAGCATATTTCATGTGACACAAAGCAACTCATTTCAAATGGTCCAGCATGCAGCTGGAACTGACAGCCCTGGATCAAAAACATCCCTTTTGTTTATCTTCCAGGGGCTGACGTGATCAGTTTTGACGGCCACGGCATCATCTCCTACCGCTTCAGGAGTAAAAAGATGAAGATTGTGAAGGATGTCATCTCTCTAAAGTTTCGAACCACGGCTGGAGATGGGGTCCTGCTTCATGGAGAGGGACAGCAGGGAGACTACATTTCCCTGGAGCTCCGCAGGGCAAGACTGCAGCTCAGTATCAACTTAGGTAGCCTTCCATAAAGTCTGTGTGGTTTCAAGGGCAGCAAAATTCTGGAAGGACTGTATTATGTACTGCTGCCAGAAATGACATGACAAACCTGTTCCTGTCTGTGTGATTTGCTCGCTTCTCTTCAGGCAGTAACCAGTACGGTTCCATCCAGGGTCACACCTCTGTCACCAGCGGGAGCTTACTGGATGATGACCACTGGCACTCAGTTGTCATAGAGCGTTACCGTAGGAATGTCAACTTCACTTTGGACCACCACACTCAGCAGTTCAGGACCAATGGCGAGTTTGACCAACTCGACCTGGACTATGAGGTAAGGAACCCCTGTGGGTCAGGCACTTTCATTTTGTTGGCCTCATTTCACAATCCTGGGACTTTGCTCCTAGTTCAAGCATCTGTGAGTTATAGTGGACCACTAAGCACACACAGATGGTGTAAACCTGCTAATAAAATTTGTAGGGCAAGCAGTAACAAACTACTGTCCATTTCATGCAGTGTTGTTATCCAAGTTGGCAACCACTCCCTACATATAGGGGCCCTTATGGCCCTTAAGGTGCCAACCATGAACCCCTAGGCCCCAGTTTGTATCCAGCCAAGGATCTTTGTTTCATGTCATTCCCCATCTCTCTCTCTCTCTCCCACATTTTCCATCAGCTATGTAATAAAATCATAAAATGCTTCTTTTTAAAAAAAAATGGTATATTTAGTCATTCTTGATTTCACCTTGTGTTCGCTGAAATATGGGGAATATCTAATCAGGGTCGTTTAATTTCAGTCAAAATGTCAATGGCTGGTTGCCCACCTGGCAACCAGGATGCAAACTCTGATGACTTCCACACTATGCTAGCTAACACTAAGAAAATGGTTAAATCCCTTCTGTTTCATCCCATTGTGAAGTCTGTCTCTGCTTTCCTTATGTTCTGTCTTCCCTGTCCACACTACACACACTTCATTTAACAACAATAAAACTGCCAGCATTTTTTAATTGATACACTCTGGAGGCCTTCCTCCAAAAGCTGTGTGGACAAGTGTCCAAAATGGAGAGACAAAGATGTGTTTTCAAATATTTATAATTATAAGAGTTAGGTTCAGTGGGTTCATGTTAACCACGTATTGAAATGTTATACCTCCAAATCAATTCCGCTTATGATATTGCTGCCTCGACTACTGCTGCTTTTGTGTATCTGAGAGATGATTAAGACAGTCTTCCTGTGTGTTTATGGGTACCATGCTACTATTGTGTTCTTGATACCCATCAGTCCAAGCAGACAGCTCTTGTGATTTTCTTAAAATATATAAAATCACATCAATCTCCACATTTCACTCCCTCCCTCCTGTCAACCAATCTTATTCCATGCATTGTAAACAAATAAATGTTTACAATGTTTTTGTTGACTGTTGTAGAATGAATAAATAATTCACTGCATTGTTGTGATCATTGACTGACAGGTGATGCTGTTGGGATGATGCGGGAGATTATGACCTTTGACCCCAAAGTGTTTAGTATTAGGCTTCAGACTAAAGTCTTATTTCAGAGAAAATCCTTTCCCAATGGTCTCAAAGTTTTTATGACTTGTATTGATGACAGATGAAAACCAGTTACCAATATCTATATTAGTAATTTTGATCTGCTGTTGCATTGTCTGTTTTTTCATTGGTTAGTGAGATTTGGACTTACTGGTCCACAGAATTTTATACAAACAGGACAGAAGTTGCAGAGAAACACCTGTGCACAAGTTTACAAACTAGTTAACGCCTCGGTGCTAGTGTTGCCAGCTTATTATGTAAGTTGGACAGTGTGCGGGAGGTTCTTTGCAACTTTTGACCTGCTCGTCCCCCTCCGACGCACATGTCTCACGCTGGAGATGTGCCGGGTTATTTTCTGTTTTGTTACAAATAGGACAGCAAATAAAGATTTGGATATAAAACTGATTTGCATAAAATTATAGAACTAGGATGCCTTTTAATTAAAACTTTCGGTTTTGGGATGTGGTGTGAGTGTTTTTAGAAATGCACTTCCACTACACAATGGAAAGAAAGAAATAGAAGAGAATTCTAACTTGAATTGAAAGCTAATTATATGATTATGTGGAGTTTCTAACAGTGTGTGTGTAGGATCACTTTCATACAGTCCATGTTGGCAACTCTACTGTGTGTCCTCAGATCAGTTTCGGAGGGCTGCCTGTGTCAGTGAAGCCGAGCTCAGGAGGCAGAGACAACTTTGTGGGCTGCATGGAGGGAATCACCTACAACGGAGATAACATCACTAACCTGGTCCGCAGAAAGAAGGTGGACACCTCCAGCTTTGTAAGTCATCTCTCTCTAGCTCTGAATATGTGTCACATTGTTTTTAATTTCCTGTCTTTTGTCTGTCTTGTCACTAATTGGATTTGGGGCTTTAAGTTTTGTCAAAACTTTTAACACAGGGGAAGTAGAATCTGTTGAGGGAAAGCGCCGCTTCTTGGTGGTAACTTTAAACTTAATAACTTTTAAGGTGAATGTCGCAGGTCTGTTGGCGACTCTAAATTGCCGGTACGTGTGAATGTGTGTGTGTCAATGGTCGTCTGTCTTTGTGTGTCAGACCTGTAGTGTATGATCGAGGGTTTTTGACCCACTAGGGACTAAAAGTCAGAATGTCCCTGCTGAATGTCCCTGCTGAATGTCCCTGCTGAATGTCCCTGCTGAATGTCCCTGCTGAATGTCCCTGCTTCAGAGGCTTCAGTTTTGACTGTTTGACTGTTTAAATGTGACTCTCACAAATCCCCCAATTGTATGGAACTGCAGTACTAAATCACATGAGTATCCCTTTAATGTTAAGACAAAACTAACTCAGAATTGTATCTTTACATGATTGCTCCTGTTACATTTTTCTGTCACTAAGTTTATGCTGGTTGATTTGATAGAATATAGTTGTTGTGAAGGCGAAGGTGCTTAGACCCTGTACTGTACAGAAACTGGACAAATGTGGTATTGATTTGAGGTCTTTGGCTCTCAGCTGTGCTTTCATCGTGCCAGCTGATGGATTTAACAGACATTAGAAAGCTTGCTCTGATCTCTGTAGACACTCTGTAGTTGTGTTGTGAAGACTTCCAGGGTCACATGACATAAGATAGACTACCTAAATTGTCACCTATAGTCTATCATTGACATCTACTATTTTAATTCCCCTCTGTCTCTCTCTCACTGTAGCGTAACCTGACGTTCACGTGCGCGGAGTCCAACTCATTCTCCGTCTTCTTCAACTCCACGTCCTTCCTGCGGCTGCCAGGCCAGAGTGACGGCGACACTCTGTCAGTCAGTCTGTCGTTCAGGACCTGGAACCCAAACGGGCTGCTTATATTCACAGAGCTGGCTGACGGCTGGGTGGAGGTGGGCCTGACGGAGGGCAAGGTCACTGTCTACATGAATGTGACGCAGAAGAAGAGCACACGTATTGACATCTCGTCAGGTGAGCTTATCTTATTGGTCTTCAGAGTGGAAGCTGCGGGGCCTTCAGTCAGTTGTCACTTTTATTTCCCTTTTTTATTCAAGCTTCCCTCAATTATTGTTGTTTTCAATTTCATCCGGTTAAGGTTTATAGACTGAAGTGGGTTTTCCTCACAGGTTCAGGTCTGAATGATGGCCTGTGGCACAGTGTCCATCTGAACGCATTAGAGAACTATGCTATGCTGACAGTGGATGGAGACGAGGCATCCACAGTGAGAACAGCCATCCCCATCCAGATCCAGACTGGAGGAACCTACTACTTTGGAGGTGATTACCCAGAAAGATACCTCACCATTCATACCGACTTTGAGTGTTTCATCAAGTCATCCAGTTACCTTAGTTCAAGTCAAAGTTTGATTTAAGTGTGCCACACCAAGATTTTGCTACACATGACAACAAAAACAATACAAACACGCTATATGATGACGTGTAAATAAATAAACTGAGGTGTAAAATTAAAAAGAGCAAGAACAACAACAATGACAATTTGGTATTACAGGGAGATCTGTACAAAATATAATAATAATAATTATAGAGAACTTTTCAAAAAAGTGATTTGACAAGTGCAAAGGTAATAAAACACATAAAAACTAATACGTTATAAAAGCAACACTTAAGAGACTAAAATACATGTTAAAAGTAAATATAAAATATAAATAAAAATAAATAGAATAAAATAAAATCAGGAAAGGCTCTCCTATGAAAGTATGTTTTAAGAAGGGACTTAAAAGAGTTCACTGACTCAGCCGCCTTGATTTCCTCGGGCAGGCTGTTCCAGAGCCTCGGGGACCCGACAGCAAACGCTCTGTCCCCTTTAGTTTTCAGTCTGGTTTTTAAGTTTACATATCTGTATGTTCTAGAGGAGTTGAGGTGCCCTTATCAGGATCTGTTGTGTAGTAGATCAGAAGCTGCCCTCACAGGTGTGTGGGTGGGCTGAGTAATAATTAATTAATTAGTTATTTAGCTGACGCTTTTATCCAAAGTGACTTACAATTACACAAAACATTTGGATATTAGAGAACACGTTTGTTGAGGGGGTGACCAAGGCTGTAACTATTATGTGTCCTCTGCATTTTGAGAATATTGACGTTATATAAACCTGGTGCAATGTTGATATTCTGCTACCAAAAATCTGTTCCCAATGTTTTTTTAGACTAAATATATCTAACTGACTAAATTTGACTATTAGGCCATTAAAGGATTCATCGTTTTCCCACTAGAGTTTTATCGCTGGCGGTGGGAAGATGGCTTTGACACAGCATTTAAACCTCTATGTTGGAAGATCCAGTTGACAGAAAATATACCCAAATTGAGAAGTAAAAAAAATGAAGAACCAAAACGAATTGTTTTTTGGTGGCTATTTTATTCTGGGGCATGACCTTGACCTTTCTAAAATCTTAACTGTGGCTCTATCAATATTTCTCCAGTGGTTGTAATAACGGCCTTTGACCTTCTCCACATGTCTCCAGGCTACTTCCTGCACACTAACACCCGCTCACATCAGCGCTCCTTCCAGGGCTGCATGCAGATGATCCACATAGACGACCATCTAGCTGACCTCAGGGCTGTGGAGCAGGGCCTCATCGGAACCTTTGAAAATGTCAGCCTGGATATGTGTGCCATTATAGACAGGTAAACAACATTTTCATAAAAGAAGAGGAAGCACAGGGAAGCAGGGTGGCTCAGTGGGTAGTTCTAGTACGTTGCAGAAAACATGGTGAGTTAGAAACTGGTCCCTGCTGTGTTCTCCCTGTGTTCCTATAAGTTTATTTCCTCTCTGTGTGTCATGTCAGGTGTGTTCCTAACCACTGTGAGCACGGTGGTCGCTGTTCTCAGACGTGGGATACATTCAGCTGCAACTGTAGCGGCACTGGATACAATGGAGCTACCTGCCATACCTGTAAGTGCACACACACCTTGTGCCTCAAGGTTATGTCTTCAGCCCTACATTTTCTTGGTATGCTTCCCTTAGGTCATATCATTAGCCAGTTTAAAGATATCTCTTATCACTGTTAGACACTGTCAAGCTGATTACACTTAAAAATTGGCTGGCAGCTGTTAAGAACTGGATGGCCAACAACTTCTGACAGCTCAACATAGATAAGAGGTCCTTATTGTTGCTTCAAACATTGCCACATTTGTTGTATCAAAACCTGAGCTACAGATGATCATACAGGCTTTTATATCATCCCGGTTAGACTACTGCAACTCCCTTTTCACCTTCTTCAATAGTCGTTCCTGGACTGTCTACAAATGGTCCAGAACACTGCTACAAGGCTGTTGACCAGGTCCAGCAAGGTGGCAGTCTCATGACATCTTTACATTGGCTTCCCGTCAGGTTCACATTTAGAGCTCTGCATGGTCAGGCAGCTGGTTTCATCTCTGAACTGCTTCACCCTTATGTCACCTGTAGGTCTCGTAGGTCTTCTGACCAGGGCTGGTCATTCTGCGAGCAAAGCAGCTGAAGACTCATATTCAAAATTGCCTTTGTCTTGCCTCGTGCCGTCTAGTGTTTTTAAGGTCTACTTATGTTTTATTTAATTCTTTTTATTTTTTTAATTTTTTACTGTTTATGGTTTTATTTCTAATAACTTTAAGACTTGTAAGGGACTTTGTGACCTTGCTCCGTGAAAGGTGCTAAATAAACTTTACTCACTTACTGCTTTGTGTCTGCTGAGCTGTGTGTTGTGTCTCCTCTGTAGCGATGTATCAGCAGTCCTGTGAGGAGTATAAGCACCAGGGGAAGAGCTCAGGGAGCTATTGGATCGACCCAGATGGCAGTGGATCCATCCCCCCCTTTAGGGTCAGCTGTGACATGACAGGTAAGATACCCCTGTGAGAAGGGTGTAGAGTTAATCCATTCAATTTTCTCATGTGACTCTGGTGAAGACAGCAAAAAATGAATTTCCTGGAATAGCTTTTGCCAGTGCCTTCTCCAGAATTTAGTTTTACTTTCAACACTTATCTTTTGCAGCTATTACAATCCAGAAAATATCTTCCATGTATGTTTGTCAAGAAGAACATAATGCTTTTTGTGTATGTCAGAGTAGCTATTATGGTATAGAAACATGCATTTATCATATAATTTTTCTCTGAACATATTGTACATGTTATTATGCATCTGCAAACATACTGTACAGTGCAAGTGAATCTGATGGTATGTTTTTCTGGTCTTTCAGAGGAAAAGGTTTGGACCACACTCAAGAACAACCTGTCTCCTCAGACATCAGTCAGCAGTGCAGACCAGGAGGGAAAGGCAGTGCTGCAGATCACTTACAATGTGACTGATGAACAGGTACATAGTGACCACCCACTTACTTTGACCTAGTTTACCTGCTGCACACTGCTTGAGTGGAGCACTTGGAGTTCAGATCAGTTTTTATTTATATTGCTTTGGTCCTAATAGTAATAGGACACAGCCACAAATTAGAGTAAATTAAAGTGGACATTTAAGTAAAAACAAAGTGAAAGCCAATAATATAGATATCAGACATGTTGACAATTCTAGATTACACAATACTAGGTAGTAATGCACATGGGATAAATTCTTCAATGAAAGATAATATACAAATGATGGTGAAGTCCTGATAGCCAAAGGTATAGTACTATTACACACCTGTAGTCTACTGGCACTGGAGAATGAAATTATATGTCTCGTAAGAACTGCCTTTAGCTTTTCCCAATGTACTGATGGGAGTATGTGTTTAAAGCTGACTGGGCCATGGACTGAGGTAATTACTGGATGAATTCCACAGGTAGAAATGTGTCTCCTTCCTGTGTGTGTGTCCAGGTGTTGTCAGTCACCAGAAGTGCAGAGTACTGTGAACAGTATGTAGCCTACGCCTGCCGAATGTCTCGTCTGCTCAACACGCCAGGTAAAGTATCTGACAGAGCTATCATCTGCAGAGACGTAACAGCTTCTCCTGCTACTTTTCAGTCACTAATAAAATACCGTGCTTATTTATGTATGCAAATTAATCATTAAATTTATTATTTGGGGGGTTTGTGTGTGCTCCTAGTTTTGGTCTACCATACTAATACTGTAGGGTACTTTTACAACCTTCAGCCACACTGTGGTTCAAAGATGAAAGATTAAAGTTTGATGTCAGTGTATCAGCCTACTTATTATTAATACAGGCTCACAGGTTCAAAGCCAGTAATGTGAGCAGAATATTTTTTTAAAATTCAAACATGAAGTCTGACTTAAGAATTGATCTAATGAAATCGAAAACTGACTCCACGTTGTTGGTTTGACGTCCAGATGGCGTCCCGTTTACCTGGTGGCTAGGAAGAGCCAATGAGAGGCATTCTTACTGGGGAGGTTCAGGACCAGGGATACAAAAATGTTCCTGTGGTATCGAACACAACTGTACTGACCCCAAACGATTCTGCAACTGTGACGCTGACCTGCGCACCTGGTGAGTCGATCACTGCTCAACAATAGTTAAGGTTACGGAGTTTGTATATTCACACTGAACTACAGTCGCTAAAGCAGCTGTGACACTGCTTTGGCAAATAAAACCAGGATGTCGGTAGATTCTGTTGTATTTACATTGTATATTGTTTATTTCCATTATACTAAACTTATTATTTCATACCTTTAACCACAAAATCCAATCCAGTTAAAATCTCTTAAACAAAGAATTTTGGAAGTAGAAGTTAAGGCAAATATTAATATATTATTACAAGGACTGTCCATTTTTAACATCATATCACACTTCCTATTTTAGCTTTGACTATTTGTTTATTTAGTGTTCATTTTTATAGGGACAGGTACGCACTATTTGCAGCACAGCCTCTGATTAGTCTAAACGTCTGTAAGTCTAGAGAAGTAAAATGTAAAACCCTTTATTAAGGGGAATATTATGGTTCAACATGTCATGGTGAGAACAATTCCCCTCAACACATTACATTTATCAAATAAGGATTTAAGTTGTTCTATAAAAACGTAATTAGCACTCTCTGTAGGAAAATTAGGATAGAAAGTAAACTATATTATATGCAAAAAGTATTCTATTCTATATTTACTCACAGTATTTTATATTCACAGTTGAATGATGCAGTTCACAATTTTAACAGATAGGTCAGCTGGGTTTATTTCCAAATGAGTGGTTATAGTTATGAAAATAGTTTATTTGGATGTATGTATACAATCTGAGCCCTGTTGGACTGATTACATTGGTTAGATTTGGACATGCAGCAACACCAGTAGACACAGATTTATAGTAAAGTCATGACAAACAAAGGCTGTACAGATGATTTACTTGGAAATCAGTCATTAAGTCTAAAACTGCTTCAAATACTGTCTAGGGTAACATGATCCTGAATAGACTGACAGGTTTTTGTCTGTGTGTGTGTGTCTGTGTTTGTGTGCAGGAAGGAGGATTCAGGCCTGCTGGTGTATAAAGACCATTTGCCAGTCAGTCAGGTTGTGATCGGTGATACAAGCAGATCTGGATCTGAGGCCAAACTGACAATCGGGCCGCTAAAATGCCAGGGAGACTGTGAGTGTCTGTCTCTCTCTCTCTCTCTCTCTCTCGCTCACTCACTCACTCACTCACTCACTCACTCACTCACACACACTCAACAGACACTCTTTAATAATTAATAATTGTTCACCAAAGACTGATATATTTCATATCATCAGAGAAGCATGACTATTTTTGCCCCACTGTTGTTTTCTGAAGGGAACTATTGGAACGCAGCATCCTTCACCAGCCCTGCCTCCTACCTCCACTTCCCTTCCTTCAGAGGAGAAACCAGCACTGACATCTCCTTCTACTTTAAGACTTCATCCACTCACGGAGTCTTTCTGGAGAACGTGGGAACCATCGACTTCCTTCACATTGAACTCAGAGGTGGGTTTGCGTGTTTACACTGCACACGATGTCGGATTAGACATTGCTAGTTGAGTGCACTGGGATATAACGTACAGTAGTTACAATACGTTCAACTGCTTGTGGGTACCGGACGGATTCAGTGGGGCATGGACCACATCCTGCTTCGACCACATCCCACTAGCGATGCCTTCAGATGGGTGCATTTATTCCTTTCTGCACTATTTATGTCTATATCTCTGTCCTTGATTCTCTTTTTTTCATTGGTTAACTGTAATTGTTGTGCATATGACAAAGAACATAACTATATAGACTGGAGTTACAGTATGTAAATAACTTTCCCATCTATTCATTTTGAAAGAGTAACGGCCAATGGGGAAACTCTTAACACTCAACCGACCAATGGTCAATAAGTCAGTGACAGTCTTTGCTGTACTCTGGCCAAAAAGCAACTGGTAACAGTAGAAAAGGGTTAAAGAGTTTTCAGAAGTGATTTAAAAGATACTTGTGACTTGGCTTGCCTGAGATGTTCAGGAAGGAGTTTCAAAGCTGAGGCATGTTGACCAAAATACGGGACAGCTGTGGCTTAGACGTAGAGAAGGTCACCCACTAATTGGAAGATCAGCGGTGCTGTGAGTGTGTGTGAATACTGCACCTTCTACGGTTGCCTCTAGCGTCAGTTTATGACTGTGTGTTAATGGGATGTAGTGTAAAGTTTTGAGTGGTCGGAAGACTAGAAAGGCATGTACAACTCTTTTACCATTCATTCCCAAAGTTTCAAATATCTTTTAGATATTGTGATGGAAATTATTCCAAACAAATGAGAAATCCTGGATGGAAGTCTTAAAATGTTACTAATGTTTGATTTTCATCCTGGTGCTCTCAGGAGGCTCGGTGATCTTCTTCTCTGTTGGCATGGGGAGTGAGCGAGTGGAGCTCAGTGTCCGCTCGCCGGTGCCTCTGAACGATGACCAATGGCATCGCGTAGAAGCTGAGAAGAACATCAAGGAGGTGGTACTGCAGCTTGATGGACAGTACAGAGAGGTCAGAGCTACCCCCCCACAGGGACTCACAAAACTGGAGTTCTACAGTGAGCTATATGTTGGTAAGACACACATGCACACATACACACCTAACACACTATAGTGTTCGCCACAGCTGCTGCCACGTGTTGCATGTGCTGTGGATGAACTGTGTATCAGTTAATAATAACTACAGTGCCTGAGTACAACTCTGTACAGAAAGAGAAAAAGTGGGACAGATCGCCACAATACATAAACATTATGTTTTCATGATTAATAATTCAACACATTGCACATTAAGACGACCAAACAGTGTTATGTGCATAGTGAGAGCTGTCTGTGCGGTACACCTGCGTAAATGATTACCACAGTTGTTAATGAGCTGTAGATCTCAGTGCTCTGCCTGAATTAATGCTTTGTGTCTTATTTCCCAGGTGCCTCGAGTGGGCAGAGGGGTTTCCTGGGCTGCATGCGGGCTCTGAAGATAAATGGCATGACCTTTGACCTTGAGGAGAGGGCAAAGGTGACTCCAGGGGTGAATCCAGGCTGCCAGGGCCACTGCAGCAGCTACGGGATGCACTGCAGGAATGGAGGAAAGTGCGTGGAGCAGTACAGTGGATACTCCTGTGACTGCTCCCTCACTGCGTACGATGGACCCTTCTGCACCGATGGTACAACCTCCAACATGAACTTTATTACAGTATATTACGTCAGGTTAGATTAGATGCAGCAACGAAGAGTTAACAACACTTTTATGGTGTTTTAATTACCCTTCCTTCTCCTGCTGCTGCTTCTGTGTGTGTGTGTGTGTGTGTGTGTGTGTGTGTGTGTTTGTTAGACGTGGGCGGCTACTTTGAGACAGGAACCTTGGTGCGCTACGACTTCCTGCCAGAGAGCATATCAGGCGTTGGTATTCCTAGTGATGCCAACCTGACTCAGGAGGAGCTGGTGTTCAGCTTCAGCACCTCCAGCGCTCCCAGCATCCTGGTCTACATCAGCTCGAGGACTCAGGACTATCTGGCTGTGGTGCTCAGGCACAACGGTGGGCTCATCTACATAGTACCTGATCCATTTTATATATTTTTATGTATATAAAAATATTATATCAACTGCTGTTACATTACTATCCTCTGTTAAAACATTCTTTCTATCTCTGTACTTGTGTGTCCAGGCACTCTCCAGATCCGCTACAGTCTTGGGGGTCTAACAGAACCTTACACCATAGATGTTGACCATCGTAACATGGCCAATGGACAGCCACACTCTGTCAACATAACTAGGAACTTACGGGAGATACGACTACAGGTTAGTGCTTCCTACCGTTACAGTCGTACCTGACATTGTTATACTAAATACTATATGCTGCATGTCAGAGTGCAGTCAATCTCTTGTCTGTGTGTTCATTTCAGATCTGCGACAGGACTCGGTTAGCTTAGCTTAGCATAAAGACCAAATGAAGATGGAAACGGCTTGCCTGACTTTGTCTATAGTTCCAAAATACCCCTACCAACACCTCACTTATTAAAATGATGTATCTTGTTTTGCTGCCTTTAAGCACATATGAACAGAAATGTAACTACAGCAGTAAGTGATTTTTAGGTGGAGTTACATGCTATTTCGAAGCCTACTCTAGGCATAAAGCAAGTAAGTGCACTAGCCAAAATGTTTAACTAGTATGTAATTTCCTTTAAATACAGGGTTCTGGTACTCATTTTCAGGAAAATGGAAGAGGGCATGGGTAGAATGGCAAACTTGAGGCTTCCCTTTAGAGACAATGCTGGAAGAACAGAATCATTCTTGGTATTAATGGTAACAAAGTAGATCAAATTTATCAATTAAACTGGTTCTTGTCCTTATTCTCTAGCTGGACCACTACCCAGTGTCCATGTACACCCTACCTGAGGCCTCCGACACCCAGTTCAACTCGGTCAAAAGTATCTTTCTAGGAAAGGTCTTTGGTAAGTGTTTAGATGAGAAGAACTTTGTGGATCCTACTCAGATAGGATTGATTTCTCTGAGGGATGTTAAGTGTATAGTGATATTTTAGAGTGACTACAGTAAATTTAAATTTACTTATTTAGCAGATGCTTTTATACAAAGCAACTTACATTTGAGGAACAACAATAAAGCATAAATAAAGTAAGAGTAGAGAGCCTGCAGGAAATGAATAGACTCCAACTCAGGGCATTGCAATTACGTGGTCAGTGTTTTAAATCCAAAGTCCACCTGGATGCCTCCACACCACCCCCACAAAAAATTGATATTTCTACTCTGCATCAATCCCAATAAGGAGTAGTAGTAAAGTAGGATCTACTTACTGAAGTATTGATCTTCCTGTCCCTGGAGTGCAAATCGAAAAATGCAAGAAGCAGGACAGCAGTAAGGTGATCAAGGGTTTGGGCATCCTCTGCTCGCATAGAGATGAACCTGTTCCCTTTTATAGAACTTTGCTACATTTTCAATTATTTTGCATGCAATAAAATAATGCATTCTTTAATTTAAAGTATGTAAAGTGTTAATGATTATATAAGAAGCACTGTTGAGATCATCTAAAATATGCTCTTAGTTAAGCTTAAAATAAATTTGAGCAGTCTTTTAAAGTGGAGCATTGGGCCCTGAAAAGAGTTTGTTACTTCCAGAGAGGTTTGCAATGGTCTAAACGTGTCAGAGCAGATAAAACTCTCGTGTCTTTCTTGTAGAAACAGGACAGATTGACCCCATCCTGATTGAGCGCTACAACACGCCGGGCTTTGTGGGATGTCTGTCAAGAGTTCAGCTGAACAGTGTGGCACCCTTAAAAGCTGCCTTGCGCTCGGGCCTGGGATCACCCGTCAGTACCCATGGGATTCTGGTCCCGTCCAACTGTGGAGCCTCACCTTTGACCATCTCCCCCATGGCCTCTGCTAGTGACCCCTGGCACATAGAAGCTGGTAGAGACACAGACAAACAGATAAAACATTATGTTAATTTGTCAAAAGCCAGTTCATGTCAGAATTCAAACTCATAACAAATGTTTGCTTTATCCACAGCTGGAGCTGTTTCCCCCCTCAACGACGACAAGGCCAGTGGCGATGGAGTGGATCGCAACTCTGCCATAATTGGAGGTAAATCTCATTTAACTTCCAACTATTAAATGTTAGCACTGCAGCTGGGAACAGTCTTTACAACTGTGTAAACCTACATACACATACACAACTGTTTCCATCAACATACTGTAAACAAATAACATACAGTACATACAATACACTGCACAAAGACTCGAGCAACCTCGGAAATCCCATGAGAGCACAAATTCTTGCATGTTGCTGTATCAAAACAGAAATGAACATCCATCAAAAACAGCTTGCTTTGCTAATTTCTGCTGCTGGTTTAGTAGCAAAGGCAAAGAAACTGCAAGGTAAGCAGCAAGCAGAGAGAGGGGAATTCAGAATCAGAATTGGTGGCGGGCCCTGCTCTGATGTGAAACCTGGTTCAAAGCTGTTTGTGCAAACAGAGAACAGCGACAGGTGATGAACAAAAATGATGAATGTGGGTATGTGTACCCAAACTTGTCTTGATGGTCTTTGTTTCCAGCACAGGATGATTGCTGGTGCTGTCTGTCATAAATCAGTGTTTCCTAGGCTTGTTGTATTGTTTGTGAAATGTCTTTACACTTGCACTGCTACCAGGCACATGTTGGTGACATAAACCTTAGCAAAACAGAAGATATCTTCCATTTGGTTCCCAGTATGCAAGATCCAACTCAGAGTTGTGTCTAACTTATACTCAGTCTAGTCAGGTTTGGAATAGTCCTGTTTTGTTGCTGCTGGTCTCTGTGTCTAATACCCGAGTGGATCCAAGTGGGCTTTCTGTCGGCTCTGATCACGGGGTACTGCTGTTTATTAATTGGGGGATCATTGTGCTGCTGCCAGTATGGGAGTTCTCTCATTGTTTACGTCTGTTTGGGTCCACCACATTTTGAGATTGGGTCTTTTTGGATGTTTTCAGTTCCAATGCATTAGTTAATTCATAAAAAAGAAAATCATTTATGCTTGAGTTTTTTTCAGCTATTTTTTTCACAGTTCTGCTACAGATGGGGTCATTTTCAACTTGTAAGGACCGCTACGCTGCGCTCCTCCTTTCATGCTCGCGATGCATATGCGTAAAGAGCCTGAGTGGAGATAAGAAAAATGTTGTGATTGATCAGAACAGCTTTAGCAATGGCTCTTATTCTGAAAAGTCTGAAAACTCCACTGATTTGACGCATGAAGGTCCATTTGCGTATCATTAGGTGTACTCAGCTAGTGAAAAGTCTCCTATGTGCTCTGAAAGGGTTTTGACATACCTGATGATGCCGTAGTGATATCATCATTATCTCATGTTGGTTTGGAGACTGGGCATTTACAATGTGGGTGGGTCTAACAAAAACATCAAGTTGCATTACTGGTCTTGACCTTGTCACAGTCTCGGCCTCTGCCGCTTCAATTTTGCTCTTTGCAGCAGCACATTTCAACTTTCCAGTCTGTTGTTATAAATCAAGTGCTCATTTGTTTTGTTTCAAGGCATCATCTCCATAGTGATCTTCACCGCCCTCTGCATCATGGTGTTTGTGATACGTCACATGTTCCGTCATAAAGGCTCCTACCACACCAATGAGGCCAAGGGAGCGGAGTCAGCAGACTGTGCTGACGCAGCGATCATCGTCAACGACCCAGCCTTCACCGAAACCATCGATGAGAGCAAGAAGGAGTGGTTCATCTGAGCCCCTCTCAACAACACGGACACATGACGTTAGGATGTATGTAGTTTTCTAAGCATAGGGAATAGTAGTGAGGTCGCCACCCGTGGAACCTCGAGGATGTACTGAGCGGTTTATTCAAAAACTTTATGGACAATGGACACCATGGCGTTACAGCGTGGGTATTAAAGCACAGGGCACGGTGCTGCCTGGCAGAGCCCGTGTGGAGATGTGGAGCGATTTATTTTTTAACTTTATTTACAATGGACAGTGTGACAGGATGAATGCCTTCAGATGGGGTAGAGGATGGTGCCATGTAGTTACAGGCCTTGGATGAGTGAGTGTGTTCATTAGCTTTTATTTTAATATTTCTTTATATATTTTTATTTGATTTGATTTCAGTTTAACTTATGTAATTTATTTATTTATTCATATTTATTAATATTTAAGTCATATATTTTTCATGAAAGTTCTTTGTTTGCGTTTATTTATTTTTATAGATTCATATATTGATGCCTTTTGTTTGTTAATGGTAATGATCATTAATTTATTGTTCATTTTATAATCCTCCACATCTGTAGCAATGCTCATAAATTCAAGTTTTTCAGATATTTTTTAAATATCAAATCTCTGTTGATTTGCCTTATTTTACATTCATTTCAGTAAAGTTTAATTTTAGCCTGAAAACTTTGATGTGTGTGTGTGTGTGTGTGTGTTTGACCGCCTTGCTTGTCTGCAAAGCAGATGTAGCCATGAGTTTGGTGCATCATTTGGACTAAGAACCAGGGGGAAAAGCAAACGTCCCACTTTTATTTCTTTGTGCATCTACAGAACTGACAGTGTCTCTTAATGGCTTTTGAGCATAGATTGTTAAAATTATTAATGATCTTTTTTTTGTACTGTTTTTGCTGCCAAATGTGTTCACGGGGAGTTCAGCTTTAGAAGAACGAACTCAGTCCTGTCAGTCCACTAGAGCTCGACTAACTGTGTTTAGATTTCTGAGGCATTTGTTGTCTTTTGTTAGCAACGCCAGCTTAGATGATGCAAAAACCTTTGTCTAAAAGTGACACCACTAATTGCTGTTTAAGGAAAACTACAACATTTTGGAAATCTTCTTGTATGCCATCTAACCCACAGTCAGATAAGATTAGGTTCAGTCTCGGTGCATCCAGTGCAGAGACAGGTAAATATGTTCTGGACATGTCTCTGTGCTGGATGAGAGATGATAAAATTAGATAATAGTATAGTAATAGATAAAATAGATAAACAGTAGAAATAGATTCTGATCATCTCATCTAATTCTGTGCAAGATTGAAAATAACAAGCAGAAGATGTAACCAGCCAAAATGCTTGTTTCTCTTTCCTTGAAAAGGGACACAAAGTATCCCCCCTCTACTGGCAGCATGTTAGGAATTTAGCTACTGAGAAATTATTTTCTTTTAAAGTTGTATTTTGGAAAGAGAGATTCGCCAGTGTTAGTTATATTAGTTCAGGCTTAGTGAATTTGGGCTTAAGATAGTATGATGATGTGGCCATGCTGAGAACTGATGTCTATACAAACTCTTTGCTAATTCTTCAGATGGGCTGAAAGGACTGTTAGTTCAGGATTCTTCTAAAACCTGAGCTTTGTCTTGAGTTTTATGAAGTAGGATGATGTTTCTGGAAAAGAATGTTACTCACATACAAAACTATGGCTTACATCCTGACATTTGATTGTATTGCATTTGTATTCCTTTGACTGCACTGCAGAGTAATGGCATGCTGTTTGACACTGAATGACACACGTTTCTTTTTGATAAGCCACTGTAGCATCATTTTGCTTTTTCTTCATGTTATATGTATAAAACTTTACCTAACAGTTGTTTTTTATAGCTGATTTCTCATTATTTGTGCTTTTCTGATTACCTTGAATGCTTCCTCTTAGAAAGACCGACAAAATATCAGTTCTGTTGTATTTAGCAGATTTTGGACCCAGACAACAGACACAGCTGGTTGTAGATATTTTAAGTTTATGTCAGCGAGAGCAGGGAATGGAGATGGTGTGGGCTGAAGGTGGCATTGTGGAAAGTGGCTGACAGTGGTAGGGGTGTGCAGAGGGAGCAGGTCCAGAGTTATGGTTTGCTGGAGCTGAACCAGTGAGGCACAGCATCCAGAAAGCGTCAAGAGTTATGAATGGTGACCGATACTGCCGGGCTGGCATACTGAACAATCTGGCGCTGAGTGTCTGAAGGATCAGTGTTAAATGATCTGATGAGAGCCGGGTGTGAGTGACCAGCCAGTAGCCAGGAGAGAGGGAGCAGGGCCACACCCACACAAAACACAGAGAGACCCAGAGTCACAGCTATAAGTGTGACGAGTACAAATGTGACACTGGCTTTTATTAGACACAGCTGTATCCTGGTGACCATCTGGAACTTCGAAAACGGCTATATGGAGATGTTAGCTGCATGAAACCTCTAAAAATATTTTTAAAAATCAAGATCGTGGCAGACTGTCCAATCCAACCCAAGAGTCTTAAAAAACAATAGTAGGCAGACCCAGACCCATAGCCTGGCTCATGTCAATAACCAGGTTTCACAAAAGAACAAATCAGTCTACACCTACTAGAGTTAGAATTGGTCAAGTTACTTCTTGGCAACTGATGCACTCATCTAGATCACTCATCTAGTATTTAGAGATAAATACAACTTGACACTTTGGTGGGGTTGGTCAACCTGTAGCTGGAGAGCAACATGCAGCTTTTTACCTGCATAATATAAAATAAAGTGCTTTACAAAACACATGACAATACAAAATAATATAACATAGTAAAATGATTTTTAAAAATCACTTATAATATGTGAGGAACATGTTCTTGCTGCCCTGACTATTGATTTAAGATATATTCCATCTACTAATATCAAGTTTTTCTTAATTTCATTTTAAACCCAATCCATTTTTATATGATATATTTTCAAAGATACGTACCCCCCAGAGAACCAATCAAATACTTTATAACTAAACAAAAAAGTTCATAAATTGATTTATAAAGTTTCAGGTTGACCACCAAGAAGCTACTCTCAAGTCATCTGATATTAGTTTAACACCTAAGCATGCAGTATGATGGTTATCTAGCAAGCACTGCAAAAGGCAAATACTGTAAACCCATACATCCTTCAGAGAAGTCCTGTGTTATGTGTAAATGAGTGTAGTGACAAGAGCAACTGGTGGAGTTAGTATCTGTTGGTCATACAGTACGTCTTCTCATCCTGTGATCCAATGTTAAACTCGTTGTTACTTAACCTGAGCAGACAAACTAAATAGTGTAATGAAATGACAACAAACCACATTGTGAAAAAAACATTTATTCGTTCTATTGTACAATAAAAAACAATAAAATATAAATGCTAAAACACTTTAATAACAAGCAGTTAAATTGTTGTACTTTTTAGTACTTGAATGAATCCCTGGAGGGAATAGAAAGGCGATGTGAATGGAGTCCAGTAGGCCCTAGTAGAAATAAAGAAAAAAAGTAATAAATGTTTGTTCCACTCTCATTTAGTGGAGGTAGAAATCTTTATTGTCCATGTCTTTGCCAGGGTACCTAGTTGTCTGACTTCATTAAGACGCCAAAGTAAGCAGTCACAGTCTTCAGCTTGTTGTTGAGGAAGTTCTGCTCCACCTCCACCTTCCCTCCTGGACCAGCCAGAGAGGCTATCTGTGGAGAGATGCACAGGGAGATAATATATTATCACACAGGAGTTCCTCCAGTCTCTCTAAGCTGCTGGTCAGTAATGTTAAACCAGACCAGAACAGTAAAAAGAAGACACAGATTGTTCCAGATCCATTCAGTTATTCTTTCCAGTAATATTCCAACACTGAATAACCTGCTTTGGTAACCAAGCACCTGCTGTGTTAGAAGTTGTTTTTGCTCAGATTATTATTATTTCCATTTAACTGAAACTGGTTCTGTGGTCCAAATTGTTGAACTGTAAAATATGCAAGAGCAGTTCCAGAGGAAGTAATCCTTTCATACAGCTGCTTCTAGTAGACCACAAACATGTCTGCGCATTACATTTAAAATAAAAACTTTTGAAACCTGATCAACTGCATTTTTCTTTTACGACTACGTTCTTTGTTTACATGTAATTTTTACAGTACAAATAACAATATATCTCATCAGTAGATGAACCCACACTTGGTGCACCAATACTTGGTTGGCTCTGGATGCACCATTAAAATTTTGATGATAGCTGATCAATAAATGTTGCGGCAAAGGTTTTTGTTAGTAGGTAATAAATTTGGTATGCCACCCCCCATTATATCCTCCAATACATAACCAGTACAATGTACTGTATGTACCAGAACATTCTCCAAATGAAACAAACTGAAAAAAGCCTAAAAAGTATGTGCTTCAGATTAACCATACCACATCTGGTGGGAATATTGCATTAGGTGGTGCTATATTCTTGACACAGCTCACAAATTAATTATATAAAATTCAGCAAATTTATAACTATTGGCCTGTTCACGTACACACACACACACACACACACACACACAAAACAATAAACATACAGACCTGATCCATGTCAGCATTGCGAGGCAGAAAGTACACTATGTTGTCTGATATCAGCGTGGCCAGCTGGAAAATCTCAAATGTATCTACTGTCAAGGTTTAAAACCAATATTCAACATGAACAATATGAGTCTACTTTTTAAAAACGTTTTCATTTTAAGATGCATTTAGTACTGAATGGAGAGTAGTTCAGATGTTTATATTTTATGTGTTTAAAGCTGACATTTTGTCTTGAGGGCAGTGTTACAGAGAGCTATTTTCACCCTATGAAATGTAATGACAATCTACCATTAGACTTTGTGTGTACAAGTGGACATTTTGTCCAGATGACGTTGCTAGATGAAAAGCTCAGGGGTCGCCTAAATTATTAAGATTCATCCTCTGGAGACCATGAATATCCACAGCAAATGTTGCATCCAGCCAGTAGCTATCTGGAGGACAATGTTGAGGACTGTAGACGCAGTGGTCAGCCAAAGAAACATACCTATTATTACCACTTACTTACTGATAAAGTTATAGCAAAGATGCATCCAAGCAAGAATCGTCAACCGAATACAGTAACACCAGGCTGGTTAACAGCAGGGATTCACTGCCCTCTCTGGCTCAAAGTTTCCAGTCTGTTTCCAACCACACCCATCAGTGTAGCTGGTTGGCTGTGGTCAGACGTGTACACTTGTACATCACTGCAGAAAAATGAACAACAAATAAAACCCTGTACTTTTAGCTTTTACCCTCGACAATGCATTATAGGCAAGTCCCCAATCCACCCCCACCCTTCGCTTCTACATCGAAGGATATCCATCAGGCTCCATCATGGTCTTGATGTCAAACACCTCCGCAGTCAGGTAGTCTGGCCCTCCCCACGGCGGTGACAGGAAGACCACATCGCCACGAAGACGGGGCGCCAGCTGAAGGAAGTCCCCTTGAAGGAAGTCGATTCGGTCGGCGACACCATAAACCGTTGCATTGTGCCGCGCCAAGTCCAACCGCACTGGGTCGATATCAATGGCCAGGACTGAGAGTGTTACACAGAAAAAGACACAGCAGGAGAAACCTTGCTGAGATTTATGTACTGGGACTGTAACATTTCTAATCTTGCAGTAGGACGCACTGGACAGTCAATCACAGGGTAAAAACAGAAACATTAAAACCCAACCACGGGCAGCCTTTAATGGGAAGTTTGGACAAATGTAAGAAACATATAAATACAACCCAAAATCAATTCTGTCATATGTGGGAAACTCTGACACATCTGGTTTACTATTCTGTACTGTAGTTCTTTTCTCAACTATAATATAAGTTAACTATATCTATATCTTAAATTCCAGCCCTATCAGAGGTGAATGGAAGAGCAAGACCACACACACACACACACACACACACACACACACACACACACACAGCTTACCTCTCTTTCCAGTGAGGGCGAACTGGATGGCGTTTCCTCCCACACCACAGAAGGCGTCTATGACCAGCTCAGAGTCGGGGAAGCTGTGCTCCACCCTGAGGGCGATGTGCTCAGCGATCCTCTCCGGCGTCACAGAGAACCAGCCCTCTGAAACAAACGTTAGCAAGAGAGAATCTCAGAAAGTCAGTGCGTAAAAACATTGTGAAGTAGACCGAGTGAAATCTGATTTTACTAGAACTGTTTGGAGCCTTGTTAGAGCATCCAGTAATTCCCCCAAATCCCACATGTCTGCTCACTGTTCATCAGTATGGATACTAAGAACAGCAGCGTGCTCCCGGACCAAATGAGCAACATGGATTCAGTGATTAACAGCTGCAGTCTGTTAATCACTGTAATCTGTGGCTCTCCAGTTTAAATTGGATACAATCAGCATCTGATCCTTCCCTTTAAATGAGTAAAGTCTATACTTTTAGAAGTATTCAACTGAAGCACACTTTTGGGCTACAAAACACTGTAACTGTAAAAGTGATTTAAGCTGTAAATGCACAGCTATAACATGTAACATAGCACTTACAAAACCAAAGCCAGTTTAATAGAATGGTACATAAATTGCAAGTCCTTAGTGAAAAACCAAACCGTGTGCTGTCAATGATTTTTTCCTGAAGCATCCTTAGAAATTTTCAGTACTCTGCTGTTATAAGAAGGAGTAAACAAGCACAAAAATCACACCTCTCAATTTGAACGGCGTGAGAATCTGATCTCTGTGGAGTGAAGCTCTGCATCCAAGTGCGTTTTCACATCATCTGCTCTTTGAGGCACAACATAACAGCGAGATGTACACAAAGCCTGTGCTCAGACCGAAACCACATTCTTTCACTCTGCAGTCTGCATTTTTAAAATCGCACGCAATGTTTGCCTCTAGAATCACACTGCGCCCACACTGGAAGGCATTGGATCTGTGTCAAATATCCAGCTGAGTGGGGAAACTTATGTACCGAGTGCATGTGTTCACGCCACACAAACCGCTTCATTTCCAGCAACTTATACACTCTCTGGTCAAACCAACTCGAATAGACATAAAAAAATTAAAGCTAAATATTATGAAAGGATTGTCTCTTCCCATTTGCCTTTTTATTGAGAAAACTATCAATTAACAGACTGCAGTAATAGATATTGGCAGCACAACCAATCGTAAAACAATATGACACCCCCAGTGGACATTAAAAGGGTTATTGGGCGCAGTAATTATTCCTCCTCCCTACAGTGAATTTAGCATTCTAGAGTTCACCCGAAGCAAATGTAAGTTAATCAAAGCTTTTCATCTGCGCCGCAGCAGAGTGATAGTATCACAAAGAGGGAAGTTGGGTACTTAAAAGATTGTACCATGTCTCTTTGCAGCCAGTGTAGTCAGGAATAGTTTCATAATTACAGTGAGCAATAACAATTTTGATGTTCCCATGTGCATGTGCGTACTGTACGTAAGAGAGACACGCTATCCTTCAAGCTTTTTCTGTGGCTCAGTCGCTGATTTGCTGCATGGTGCATTTTTTTTAAAATATTCAAAAAAGCACTGCACACTAAATTAGAGTAAATGGAATATTTCACATCTGCTTGCTGTTATTCCTTCTGTCCCCCTAAGACTCATTTATCTGCTTCAACTACATGAGTGACTTTCACACCAGCTGTTCTGCCTGAATTCACTCATGCTTGGAAGACATCTAATTCCCTCTGTGGCTCAGCCCCACCACCACTAGAGACCTGACTTTAAACACAGCCTGTTTATTTTATGGAGACATTTATGGAGCCAGGGCAGTGACTTTAGAGTTTGGCATTGAAAATACAAACCCTGATAATGACTTTTTCTAATGCCAATGTTTCCTTTTTTGGATCAGGATGCATTTTCAACGCCAAAATCTAAAGTCACAGTCCTGGCTCCATTGGCTTTTGGTGCGGATAGCAATGAAATCAATTCTTTGTTAGTTTCTAGGCGTGCATGCAGGGCGCAGACTAACCTCGGTCCAGCCTGATCCCTTCATCGAAGCGAGAGAAGAGTCTGTAGCGTTGAGCCCAGTATTTAGCCAGCTCCGGTTCAGCTGCCATCTCAGCTGGGACCTGCTGCTTCCTGCCTCGCTTGCTCTTCTTGTTCTTCTTTGACTTCTTCCCGTCTTTCATGCTCAACTCTACACACACACACACACACACACACACACACACACACACACACACACACACACACACACACACACACACACACACACACACACACACACACACACACACACACACACACACACACACACACACACACACACACACACACACACTCACTCACTCTTCAGTGATGGCACCAGTTTTTCATGCAAACACTTATGCCATCAGAATCATTTGACAGATGCTATGATTACCTCTGTTGCCTTCAGGTGCGTCAGAGAGGAGAAAGTGAGGAATTTCTAGACATTGTAACGGTCTACCAGGCTGCTCCTCGTCCTCCCTATCCCTATCCACAGACCCTGGAGCAGAGCTGAAGGGCTGACTGCACGTCCTCCTCTCTGCATCGAAACTGGATAGAGCATTTGAATTCTCTTCTTCCACGGCCTCTTTACTTCCTTCCTCAGCACTCTTCATCTCCTCCCTTCTCCTCCTCTCCTCTTCTCCAGTCACTTCTCCCAGAAATGGAGGCTTGTCCTCAGACTCCTGTGTGCTTCCTTCTCCCACCTCACCCTGCTCACACGGTGTCATCTGAGTCTCTTTCCGGTTCTTCTCAAGAAACTTTTGGACCTGCAAAACAAATTTCATTTAATTAGTCATTCATACTAATAAATGTGCACTCTGCTACTTTCCAGTTCTTCATCATCGTCATTGACCCACAAGCCAGAGGGAACCTGGAGTGAGTTCAAATGCTTTAATGCGATAGCACAGTGCAGTTTGGAAAATTGTTTTTGTGTTAAAAAGGCCACGACAAAATTTGAGAGAAAATTATTTGATTTCACATTATTATCAGAATATTGTTCTAAAATGTGTATGAACATAATTTAAATCAGACATCACAAATAAGTGGCTGCAGTGCGATCGATTTAATGGCTCCCTTTAACATTCAGAGCTCAGTCTGTACAGGAACGCTGGGGAACAAAAGAGTTCAGTGGGAATCTTCTCTTTGATGGCAAAAGCGGATATTCTTTAAATACAATATGAGATGGGTCTGATGTGATATTACCAACTTGACTCAAGCATTTGACCCACAGTCATTGCATCACTGCAGTCAACAGTTATGGATTATCAACATTCAGGTAATTATCCTTCATTCAAAAGACATTTAAATGATGCTTTCTTTTACAAAAGCAAATCAGAAAAATGTCTCAGCATTCATTAAATTACAATAGAAAATGACGAGTAGCGGTACAATTTTACGTTATGTTATTAGTGGACAAGAAGCATTTATGGCTCTCTGTGTCTGACGTAATTTAGCTTTCTGTACAATAAAGTTAAACTCACCTTTTTTTTCCCCAACTAAACCTTTCAGAGGCTGAGGATTTTTAACAGCAGCTAAACTAACTGGATCAAACTGAGCAGACTTTGTTCACCGGAGTACTGAAGCAAGAACAATCTATAAAAAATGCCCAGTTAGAGACCAAGCAGCCTGATGCTGGTTCTGGAGGAACACTATTGTTGATTTAGTGACTAATTGTGACCGAGCCTGCGAGAAAGACTGAGAAAGACACAGAGAAATGTCTCACAAAGTCATATGCAAGTGACAGCCAAATGGTTAAGAGTACCAAAGTGTTGAACCGCGTTAGTACGTTTTAGTGTGGAGCTTGTGACTTTTCATTGTGTAGGTGAATCTGCCATTTTGAGATTGGCCAAAAACACAATGTTTAATCCATATCTAGGTCATCTAAATGTAGCCACATGTGAACGGAAGCACCTTTAACTTGTGTTTAATTAGTAATCAAGGGGATTTTCATGTTCCAGGCAGTTACTGAAACTACAAAATTTGATGACAGGTGTGATTTATAGAGCTTTGAACTTATTGTAGTAGAATCACAGGTTCAAAGTCAAGAGAGATGGACGAGGTTTTCAGTACGGGTACGGAAAGTATTCAGACCCCTTTAAATTTTTCACTCTGTTTCATTGCAGCCATTTTCCAAAAATCAAAAAAGTTCATTTTATTTCTCAGTAATGTACACTCAGCACCCCATCTTGACAGAAAAAAACAGAAATGTAGAAATTTTTGCAAATTTATTAAAAAAGAAAAACTGAAATATCACATGGTCATAAGTATTCAGACCCTTTGCCGTGACACTCATATTTAACTCAGGTGCTGTCTATTTCTTCTGATCATCCTTGAGATGGTTCTACACCTTCATTTGAGTCCAGCTGTGTTTGATTATACTGATTGGACTTGATTAGGAAAGCCACACACCTGTCTATATAAGACCTTACAGCTCACAGTGCATGTCAGAGCAAATGAGAATCATGAGGTCAAAGGAACTGCCTGAAGAGCTCAGAGACAGAATTGTGGCAAGGCACAGATCTGGCCAAGGTTACAAAAAAATTTCTGCTGCACTTAAGGTTCCTAAGAGCACAGTGGCCTCCATAATCCTCAAATGGAAGACGTTTGGGACGACCAGAACCCTTCCTAGAGCTGGCCGTCCGGCCAAACTGAGCTATCGGGGGAGAAGAGCCTTGGTGAGAGAGGTAAAGAAGAACCCAAAGGTCACTGTGGCTCCAGAGATGCAGTCGGGAGATGGGAGAAAGTTGTAGTAAGTCAACCATCACTGCAGCAATCCACCAGTCGGGGCTTTATGGCAGAGTGGCCCGACGGAAGCCTCTCCTCAGTGCAAGACACATGAAAGCCCGCATGGAGTTTGCTAAAAAACACCTGAAGGACTCCAAGATGGTGATAAATAAGATCCTCTGGTCTGATGAGACCAAGATAGAACTTTTTGGCCTTAATTCTAAGCGGTATGTGTGGAGAAACCAGGCACTGCTCATCACCTGTCCAATACAGTCTCAACAGTGAAGCATGGTGGTGGCAGCATCATGCTGTGGGGGGTTTTTCAGCTGCAGGGACAGGACGACTGGTTGCAATCGAGGGAAAGATGAATGCGGCCAAGTACAGGATATCCTGGACGAAAACCTTTTCCAGAGTGCTCTGGACCTCAGACTGGGCCGAAGGTTTACCTTCCAACAAGACAATGACCCTGAGCACACCGCTAAAATAACGAAGGAGTGGCTTCACAACAACTCCGTGGCTGTTCTTGAATGGCCCAGCCAGAGCCCTGACTTAAACCCAATTGAGCATCTCTGGAGAGACCTGAAAATGGCTGTCCACCAACGTTTACCATCCAACCTGACAGAACTGGAGAGGATCTGCAAGGAGGAATGGCAGAGGATACCCAAATCCAGATGTGAAAAACTTGTTGCATCTTTCCCAAAACGACTCATGGCTGTATTAGATCAAAAGGGTGCTTCTACTAAATACTGAGCAAAGGGTCTGAATACTTATGACCATGTGATATTTCAGTTTTTCTTTTTTAATAAATTTGCAAAAATTTCTACATTTGTTTTTTTTTTCTGTCAAGATGGGGTGCTGAGAAATAAAATGAACTTTTTTGATTTTTGGAAAATGGCTGCAATGAAACAAAGAGTGAAAAATTTAAAGGGGTCTGAATACTTTCCGTACCCACTGTAATTTCCGAGCAGATAGATGTGCAGGAACTTGCAGCTGTCCGGTTGGAAATATCCAACATGGCAGCTCAGCAGCAATCACATCAGGACCTTGTTCCAACCGAAAACCCCCCTGCACTGTCCCCGGTGTTACAGGTGTCTCCAGCAGTGTAAACCCTTCACCGGTACCTTGTAGAGGGCGGTGCTGATCTGCGGCTGTGTGTCGTCTCCATCCGTCTCTGAGAACCTGGTGTGTTTGCCGATGCTGCGGACGGCTCTCTTAGACCGCCACTGCCTCTGACGCTTCTGACCAGCGCCGCCTTTAAAGCTTAAGACGCTGTCGAACCTGAGAAACAAACATAAAGACGACCCAGAGAGAGACATTCACTGTGTAACAACTGCTCCAGTATGTGTGCACTTCACATACATACATCATATATACAGCTGACAGTGTATTAGGTCCTCCAAGCTAAAACTAATGAAGTCCAATTCAACAGTCTGCAATAAATCCTCCCTTCATGAAGTTTGTCTGTTCAAAATATTTTCGAGAGGTGTTAATTCAACAGTGTGATCTGTATGAACTGACCGGACTTACAGAGGCTCGGGGTTGTGTTTGAGTCCCAGTTTACTCCAAGCTTCCTCAGGTGTCAGATGTGTGCTCTCCTCCACATCCAGCTCATGACTGCAGACAAACAGAAAATACTGCTTCAGGATTTAAGTATGATTATTATTTTCACATTTACAGTATTTGTATTCTCTCTTTTTTTAGCTGTTTAGGTCCGAGGGATAAACACGAGATTTTCTTATGGATGTTTTGTTGTATTTCTTGGTTGTACAACATTTCAAACACTTCCAAATTCAGTTCTACATCAGAAAAGAGTCAAGCTGAGGATCTCATGGTAATTTGGAATCAACTAGAAATACGAGGGTGCTTTAACTACTTAAGTTATAAGCAGCATATTTGATGTGACTTTAAAGCCAAGATGCTCTTCTTTTGCATGTGTGTGTGTTTTTTTTTTATAGTAAAGGGACTGCACTTGTGTGCTTTACACTACAGGTCACATTCACCAATCACCTGCGTTTGACTTTGGCTTGTCCTCCTCTTGGGGGTTTGTCATCATCGTCATCATCTTCTCTATTTGACATCTTATTCTGTGAGCCATACTGTCTGTCGGTTCTGCCAGCAGCCTGCTGGGAATCTGAATCAAAAAATACACAAAGATATTTACCAGCACAACTCACAGCAACTGAATTAGCATTTTTCCGAAGCTGTCACTACAACTCTAATATGTGATATTAAGTCTGAAACACATTTACTAAATGAATGTACTAAATACTAAAACATTATTAATATAATACCAATATTAGATTTTTAAGACTGATTTTGATATTTGAAGATTTTAAAATCTGATTTTCCGATATGTCTGCCGAAAACACAAAACATAAACAAAGATTATCTCAAACATTTGTTATGTGTAGTTATGAGGTCTCACCAAGATAACATGACATAATGCTAGTATACTTTTCTATTGTTATAAAGGAGTACTTTGAACAAATGTACAGCTGATTGCTGTGTTTTGTAGTGGATTTGTGGGTTGCATAGTGCCCTCTGGTGCCACTCATAACATAATTTTAGCAAACTTAGCATCCCCTGTAAAAATATTTTTTAATGTATATATTTGAACATTTCCTTAAATTCTATTTTAAAAATCTTTTTCATGTAGTTTTAGTTACAGGTCACTTTGCCAAAAAAAACGAAAAATATACTTGCATTTTTGGGTCAAACAAGACATTTGTAAACAGAAACAAGGACACTGTCAGCAGAGATTCCTCTCTTAACCTGTTCTCAGCAAAGATAATCTTTACATTTATTAATTTGGCAGACACAAACCACAGCAGATCAAGGAGAAGCCTTCGAGAATAAGTGCTGCAACACTCGGTTTAATGTTCCACATTAAGTGCAAAGCAAATGACACGAGAGAGACAGGGTGAAGGATGGAGAGATTAACAGAGAAAAATGGAATTAAGTGAGTAAGCACTCTCAGAAGTCAGAGAGGAAGGCTATAGACAATATAAAATGTTGCGTTAAAAGAAAGCAGTCTGTGTGATAATGTAGCAGTGTTGACAGAGATACACACTCAGCTACTACCTGTATGTTCAGCTGTGTTCTGCTGTGAGGAGGCAGCAGGTCTCTTGCGGTCATTCCCACCATCAGCAGGATCATCGGTGCCACAGCTCTCTCCCTTTGATTGCTTTCCATCATCAGCCGTCCTCACACACCGTCTGTCGATCTCGGAGTCAGACGCAGAGCTCCCGCCTGCTTCTAACGTGCAGTTCTGTCCAAACATAGCCTTCAAAACCTCAAGGTCATCGTGTGGAGCCGTCACTACTTCAGCTTCAGTCTGTCCGTCTCTACATTCCTCTGGGAGTGTCTCTATGCCTCCGTCCATCACCCCATCAGCGTTCCCATTACAGAGGGACTGGTCAGTGGTCCAGCCCTGTGCTGCCCAGTATGAGTACTGCTCCCAATAGGAGTAGTAGGTCTCTGCGGCATGTTTGTCCCAGACAGCATTTGTTTCTGGGTCATTCCAAACAGCAGTCACTGTTCCTGGATCTTCTGTAGACGGCAGCTCAGCCTCTGGATGTTTCTCCAGCCAGCTGCTCCACAGCAGAGCTTCACCCTGTTGAGCTTAAGCAGATACACGGGGAATAGATAAAAATGGAGAAGCAATATTTAATATCTGAGGTGTTAAAGGGTTTGTCCTTGCTTTTTTTTCTTAATCCTGCGATGATGTGACCCATGATCCAGCTATTAAGTGTACCTAGAGTCAACCGCGGTTCCCAGCAGTCAGTTTGGTTAAATATGGTCAAGAATAAATGTTCAAACTTTAAGATCTTTTGTGGTTTACTAAATAGATTTAATGGTATTTGTTCAATAGAGATGATAATTAAGTTCTGATGTTAAACTGAACTCACAAACAAAAGCATTAACTAAAGATATAATTACTCTAGATGGCATCACCATGGCCTCCAGCATCATTATCTTTGATCGGGACATGTCCTCTCACATTAAACAAACTTCAAGGGCCGCCTTTTTTAACCTTATGTAACAGATGCATTTGTAACTTCTAGGCTGGATTCCTTATTATCAGGCTGCCTGAAAAAGTCCCTTAAGACTCTCCAGTTGATCCAGAATGCTGCAGCACGTGTTCTGACAGGAACCAGGAAAAAAAGATCATATTTCTCCTGTATTAGCTTCTCTGTAAAATCCCTCTGCTCAGCTACAAAGCTCTTAATGGTCAGGCACCTTCTTATCCCACTCGCTCTCGACCCGATAACTTCTGTTTGGAACTGGAGCTCTACAAATAATGTCGAAATGAATTAAGTGACGTATTTAATATTAAAGGTGACACATTCAACCTTTTGAATGTTCCAGAAATATTACAGGTCTGATCTCATGTTGTTACTTTTACGTAAGTGACACCGTTTATTCAGACATGAAACCATGAGATCCGTAACATTTCATGTCAGTTTAAACATGATTTATATTACTACCCTTACATACAATGTCTCAAACATGTCTAAAACTTGATGTGGTCCAATTTGGGACAACATCAAATGTTATTGGGTTCACTGGGTCTCATTGTACAACTGCATGTGTACTACTTGATTGTAATCTTCATGTCTGCCTCCTTACCCCAGTAGGTTTCCCAGCCAGCATCTTGGATCCCTCCTATTCCTTCCTCCAGTGGGTCACATGCTTCCTTCTCATCAACTAGGTCAAAAATCGCAAAGGACATGAATAAAAACACGTTAAAGTCAGATGGCACTGATTTGTCCTGTCTGAGAAGCTCCTGCAGGAAGCTTCAAAGCAAGGGAGGCCCAGACTGGTGTTGATCCACATTTATTTGAGTGTTACTTTGAAATAAGGCCCAACCTGCTGCATGTGAACATGATCGCTGCATGAGCTCGTACCCAAAAAACCTGGTTTTAATACCCTGCTCTTTTATTACCTTTGTTGTCAACCTGTAGATCTTTTTCGTCCTCCTCCTCTTGTTCAGCTGGTTCTGCCCAGTATGTGTCAGGCTTCCTGTTACCTCTCCTCCGCTGTGTCACATGACCAAAAAACAGGCTCATTCAGCATCAGCAGAAGTCGCACCGACCACTTCAGCTTTATTTTATAAAAAAAGGTAAAATAACTTACAGCTCTCCTCTGGCCAGAGGAGCTGACAAACGCCAAAGGCAAACCCATGCTGGCCATCAGCTGAGTCTCTTCATCCAACAGCTCCTCCTCATCCTCCTCCTCTTCCTCATCCTCTTCCTCATCTGCTTCTGTGAGTTGAGGGCAAATGTATTTCTTATGGAATCATCTTTTCACATTGACTACCCCCCTTTCTGTAAGACAATGTGTGTGTTGTTGTTGTTGTTAACTGAACTAAAGGCCCAGTGTATTCTGAAAGTTGCAATCCACCTGATGTTTGATCATTTTGAACTCATACGGTGCAATCAGATAACGTTAGCTGAGCGTGCCACGGTATAACGCAACGTTACCTTGGACTGTAGTGTCTGCCAGGTCAAAGGGGAGCCATCTGTTATCAGAGCGGTACAGCTCCCGATCCCTGGACGAGAAGGACACAGACAAAACAGAAAGTGCTGATGAAGACCAAGAACATCACCTGCTTCATCTATCCAAGCTTCAGTCTGCAGCAATGCACACTGCTACGTCAACAATAAGTGCTAGTGGATGAAGAGAGGCTCACTGCACGAAGGCTCTGGAGCAGAGACAGTGGATTCTGTCCTCCTCCTTCCCGGATGCGTGTCTGCTGCTGAAGAAGATTCCGCCACCACTGTCAGCCTGCTCCTCTCCAGCATCATGATGACTCTGAAGCACTAGTACCAGCATGCGCGGAGAACTTCACGCTCAGGCACAATTTCCTGCGTTCAGGAAATCATTTCCGGCTATTCGTTTCGGAATAAAAGTGTTATTTTGATAAGAGTTCAGTTCAATGGGTTTATTTGTGCTTATTTCATTTAAACAAGGAAGCCAAAGCAGTGTTTCCATTTAAATATAACACCATTCAATTTAGCAGTTATAAATCACAAAACCACAAATAACAATTAAATAATTAGAAATAATAAATAATATATAATAAATAATAATAATTAGAACATAAACTACATACAGGAATTAGCAAGATGTAACCTGCCATGCAGCGATCGTTTAGTGCAACAGTTTGCTGAGTCCCCCAGGTTGTGACCACATACTGGTTTGCTGTATGTCCTTCTCCTAGAATTATTCCTAATTGATTGTTATCTTCAAGTTATTACATTACATTTAGCTGACGCTTTTTATCCAAAGAGTTCTTTGAAATCCAGAGTTAATAGATGGACTTTCTCAATTTATTGCTCTCTTATGTTTCTATTTTTTTTTTACATTTCAGGAGAAAATACATCTCTGTCTCACCTGATGAACAGTGCTCACATACTCTGTATTTGTTAGGTAACATTTGCAATGTCACTGAGTCAGTACTTGGTAAGAAGCTGCCTCTGCTTGAAATCTCTGACTGTAGATAGATATTCAACAATTTCATAATCTCTATTTAGGACCGTATAATAATACACTTTCTGTTGTTGTTGTTGTGAACAATAAACGTGTAACGTCTTCTATTGCTGAATGGCAATAAAGACCTAAAATAATGAAAGTCTCTCAAATTCAGCCAAACTGGGGTTTTGTTTGTTTGTTTTTTACAGCTCGTCGTCCACTTGCTTTTATTTTGAAGGTTTCGTGTCAAACAGGAAGTTGCTGCCGTGTGGAACTAATCTATCGGTCTGGTGTTTTCCAGGGACACGTATCACCTTAACGTCTGACTATGTGTCACACTCATAGCCTTCCGGAGTTGGGAACCGGGACAGTTGTTAGCTGTGCTGGTGTAAACATTAAATGTACAGTGTTTTCTTTTGGTGGTTAATGGGCCTGTTCACAGACTAAACTGTCCAAGGTAACGTTTCCTGTGTTTATTCCGTGGGTCCTTGTTTTGAGTCCAGACCTTTGAATCCGCCTCACTCCGCAGAATTGACTGGTTGTGAACGTGGAAACGGAGTGAAACGTTAACGAGTTGAGTCTGTCTGATTTCAGGATAGGTAACGTTAACCATGAAGGCTTTTTGCTGTCAACTCTCAGGTTTTTCAGTTCGGCTCAATTCACGTTTGTTAGTCAGTTACTAAGCTAACGTAGCGTTAGCTCTCTGTTTTCCCTTCTAGCCTCCATAAAGTCATTTTGCATCATAGCTGTCATTTGTCGTGACTCGTGACTTTTGTGCCATTTAAATGCCGATTCGTTCTGTTTAAACCTTTTACTTACTCTCAGATTACTTATTAGGAGAAGGCAAGTTGTTATTGACAAAACAATCAACAAACGCACCAGTGTTTTCCCAGCACAGTACGGTATGTCGGTATTATGAGGCATAACGTTACCGACGTTATTTCAAAAGAGATTTAGACAATACCGATAAAGTTTGATGTTGAGTTAATTAATATGTTTCTGTAAAGTCCTGCCAGCGTTTGCTCCTCTCTCTCTTCCTCCTGTTTTTTTTTTTTTTGAGTCTTAGTCTTCCATCTAACGTCAAGTCCAGCCCCAACATTGAGAAGTTCAAATTAAATTTAAAGACCTACCTTTTCTCTCTGGCTTTTACATGATCCTGTCCCTGACTTTATTTTATTTATTTATTTTAATCCATTTTAATTTGACGTTGTTCTTACTTACTTCCTTTTTAGCGTCTTTGAATTTTATCTCTACCAAGTTCTCCATATTTAATTTATTTTTTATTAATGTGTATTGGTGCACTAGTGTTTCATTTCATTTGTGTAGTTGGACACACAATGATATATACTCTTTGTGAATTCTTGCATTGGGTGTATTGTGTTCTTGGAAAGCACTTTGGGTCAACTCCTGTTGTTTTTAAATGTGCTATATAAATAAAGAGCTGACTTGACTTGACTTTATACAAAGTAGCCTACTACTGATAGAGAAAGTCACTGGAGGAGTCAGATTGAATAAGTGAGTGACACTTAAATAAGGTGGAGAATGGAGTATAATTAAAATGGAGAAATAAGTTACTACAAATAGTAAAAACACACCCTCTAACACAGACCCAGCCCACTTAGCAAAAAACAAACAGATAAATATTTTATATCGGTGTTCAGCCTAAAAGTACCTGGTCCATATCGCCCAGCCCTACAACACAGGTATAATACTTTAGCTAGTGTTCACCCACAAATTAGTGCTTTTATTTTCTATTACGATATTTATTTTGTTCAGGATAAAGATTTTACTTAATTGTACACATGGATGTTTGTTGGAAATTTTTTTTTTTTTTTTTTAAGTGATCCACTGTTTGGCATCAAATGCCCATAAAGAAAAGTTTAAAACCACAAACTGGTTTTTTCAACTTTCACTCAGGAGTAAAAATCAGCCTTTAAACTTGAAAGAAATAATGATTTGACTTTAACTTGATTGTGATAACAGCCCTAGTTGGTCATCAATTGCAGGGCCTTTGGTATCCACATGTTAAAGTGTTTGAGCAAGAGGAAAACTGAGAAAATAATCACCAGATTATTCAATATTTATAATACATTTTTGTTGCAGCCCTAAATGTATAGGTAATGTAGCCCTTTGTTTGATGCGCCTTAACAAAGGTTGCACGATATTGACAAAATGTGATATTGCGATGACGATATTAATTTCAAATTTGTTAAATATATGTAAATACACAAGTTGATGGGCCCTGTTACTGATACGTTTCCCCTTTGACTTCCGTTGTTTTGTTTTCTCCCTTTTCTGTCCTTTCTTTTTTTTCCCTCCTCTCACTCACTTTGCTTTTATATTTATTTTTCATTTCTCTCTCTCTCTCTCTCTTCAATCACATGCTATCAAAGTATGCACACACATGCTTCGTAGCGTATGTTTGTGTAGTGGACCTATCAGCTCACAATTTCACATGGCGGGACAACTGGCCAATGAAACATGATCATTAAATAGCGGTTTCAAGTGGCCTCTAAATCAAACTCAACTAAACCACGCAGCAGCAGCAGAGTATTGCATACTTTCTGCAACATTTTCTATATTATATTGTGCAACATGGTATTGCGATATTCAGTCAATATATTGTGCAACCCTGACTTTAACGTTACCTAAATTAAATGCAGTATAACAAGAGAAAATGTGTCTGTTCATGCATAAATTGAGTTATCCAAGAAAACTTATAGTCAAGGGCAATTGTACTTGGAGAAACAGCTGTTTAACCTCGTTGATCAACACCGCTTGTTCGTTAGTGGTTGGTTAGCGGTATCGATTATCATGACAACAATCCTACAGAGGTTAAATAGCTGAGTTTCCCTACCAGTGAATCAGAAGTGAAGAAGTCTCTTTGACCAAGTCTAGTTTCCCTTGATTTTACCTTCCTTGGATAACTATGACCTGGATCAGTGAGAACCTTCACAGGTATAAATTGAGTTATTCAACTAAGCTGCAAATGCTGTTGTATTCTGCTGTCTTTCAGTTCCCCTGTGCTGTATGTAGCAGCAGATGCTCTCCAAGTAGCGTGACCCTTCCCCCTGAAGCTGTCTGACTGATCCTGTCATCAGCTGGTTGAACTACAGCTTCTGTGACTGGCAGCAGAGCAGGATGTCAGACAGCGGGAACCAGTCCTGTCTGATGGGAGCAGAGGACACGGTCTCCTTCCTGGTATGAGCCATGTGCAGTTAGTACAACTTAATAGCTGTCTATTCTCTCTGTGTTCATGCTGGGATTTCATTTAAAACCACTTAAGGAATTGGTTTATTAATTGATTGAGAGTACTGTTTATTTGATCCCATCAGGGGTGCGATTACAGTTCACTAATGTAGCCGCTAACACTCAGAATGAGTTGGAGGCTTTTGGTATCCACATGTTGGAGTTTTTGAGCAAGACACAGACTAAACAATTGAGAGAATAATCAGCAGATTAAATATAATTATAAAAGAATTGTTTGTTGCTCTAAACGTATTTGTAAAATTATTTAGCCATTTGTTTGATGTACCATCAGTTATTTTTAAAAACACAATAGCCAAATGTCATAGTTTCTGTTTTTTCTATGATAGTGAGATGGTATGGATCTTATCTGAAGCCAGCCCAACTAGTTATTGTACCTTGATTTATTGTGCATTATGAAACACACACAACTTCTTCTGAACTATTTGTTTCTTTTACACGTTTGGTTTGGTATGCTTTGAGTGTCCCGTCGCTTCTTTGGTGATGTCCTCCCCAAGTTTGACTTGGTATGAGTTATGGTTCAAAATGCTGTAACTAGAGAGTCTCTGCTTATTGGAAGGAAGCTTCCCCCCCCCCCGCTGTCCGTCCAGTCAATTTTGTGAACAGATGGAGAAGCTGCGAAGATGGCACAGATTCAAATGTACACCACAGTCTGGATTTGAATGTAGGAACGTTTGATTTTTGAGCCGTTATTTGGTGTTCAGCTCTTGCTAATACTGTTCGATAGACTGTTATTTCTTATGTTGTAGCTTCTCTTTCCATAGCAGCTCCTTTCACATTGTTTGTTTCTGTCAAGTTCTCTCCCTGGGTAGACTCTCTGTCTCTTTACCTGCCAGTCGTGTGTGTGTGTGTTTTGTTCACAGGTGTGTTTGTTTCGAGAATGGGAAGAGTGGGCCGGCCTTGGTCAGGTGGAGGACTATCTGAGTGTTTTGGAGTACTTGCTGTGGGTCTTCACCCCTCTGGCCATCGTCTTCATATTGCCCTTCCTCATCGTCATCCTTCTTTACCTCTCTATACTCTTCCTTCATGTCTATAAGGTATGCACACACTCTTTCTACCATCTGCAATGCGTGAACAGTGAACCACCACAGTTCATGTAATTTAGCAAATTTTAAAAGCACTCACAAATGATTTAAAATGCCATTCATGATTGTTAAGGATAAATAATTATTGCTCATGTACTATTTACTGTTTACACCTTCACATAGTAAGACCTAATGTAACAAAATGTTAGATGTCTGTTACTGAGCAGAGTGCAAGATTGAACTGAAAACGGAAGCCACCAAATACATCTGCAGCTCCGTGCTGATTAGGGCATGGGACTGACCAGCGAGTCAAACAAATGGACCTGCATACATCAAATCGCCTTCAATGTAGACCGTTGGATACAATAAGTTTATAGTGAATGTAAAGTTGATGAATAGGTCAAGGTGTTTTCAATAATTTACTGTATCAATCATAGGGGTATCGTTGACCCAGGTTGTTAAAAATCTTTTGCTGTCTTGAGTAACTCCAAACCTTATCTTTCGTGATGTTTTTCGTCTAACAGAGGAAGAATCAGCTGAGGGAAGCTTACTGCAACAATCTGTGGGATGGAGCCAGGAAGACCCTGGCAACTCTGTGGGACGGACATGGAGCCATATGGCATGGTAAGACACCACGGACATCATTAGTTCAAGATCTGTGGCATCCTTTTAGATGCTGTCTGTTCAGATAGCATTTATAAAGCCAATCACAGCCAAAGCCAAAAAAGTGTTGCGAAAACAGAAAACACCACCAAATACAAAGAGCGAAAGCTGCAGTTGTTTCTGCACTTGTGTGTGCACGAGAGTGGGCGAATATTAAAGCCCTAATAGACAAAGGAAAATAATATTCAGCAAAGATTTTCAAAATAAGAGACCTCATGAAATAGACTCAGTATCAAAATGTGTAACCTCTTTTATTCAGTAAAATTTATACAGGGTTATTTGTTGTTATTTGTTGTTGCATTGTTTAAAGGTGTTTTTGTATTTACTTGTTTTCACACTTTGCTGCTTTTTTCTAAATTCTGTACATGTTGTCAAATAGATGAATGTTTCTCTTATTTGCTTGTGTTTTGTCTGTTGCAATGTGTTCTGAGTAATGAGTTCTCAGGGCCACACTGCTTTTAATGGAATAGCATGCATACCTCATGTACTTTGACCTGTGTCCCAGGCTACGAGATACATGGGATGGAGAAGATCCCTGATGAAGGACCAGCACTGATAGTGTACTATCATGGAGCCATTCCCGTAGACTACTATTACTTTCTGGCCAATGTTATCATCCAGAAGGGACGGACCTGCCACTCTGTAGCTGACCATTTCCTCTTCAAGGTCCCAGGTACTCACACTGTGTCACACATGCACATACACAGTAATCCATACACTATTAATCTCCACAAGTAATGCTGACCTCATTTTATTTGCAGTGTATGTTTTGGTTTACTTTTAATAGCGTCTTTCACACAAATCAGGGATTAGCTAAGACTAAATAGATTGCACCAGCAAAGTATTAATTAAATCTAATATTTGTTCTAATTTGAGCAAAACTAGATTTAAATGAGAAAATCCACTTTTTTTAAAATTTTATTGATTTAAACCAAAGTTCTTATTTGACACTGTATCTAATATGTTCCTGTCCTCTTGCCCTTTAAACACATATAGGAGGGCCGTCCATAATGCCAGAGCAACGTATTACTTGTCATTAATAGAGGAAAATAAGAACAACCCCAGGTTGCTTTTCAGCACTGGAGCCAGGCTGACAGAGTCCTATAGCCCTCAGTAGTAATGACATCATGAGCTTATTTAATGATAAAAAATTTAATTAGTAGAGGCAAAATCCATTATTTCCTGCCTTCAACTTGCACCGATTTATCTTCAAACTCAGAAACATTAGAAACAGCTGAACAATCTGAAAATCTGATTTAAATTTAGATTGCTTTTCGCCCATCGACCTTCACCAACTAACTTCAGACCCCATACCATTCTTGTGAGTGTGTGTGTGCGTGTGTGTGTGTGTGTGTGCGCGCACTGTGGGATGCAAAAGAGATCATATTTCTCTTCTGCTCACCTACAAAGCTCTTAATGGTCAGGCACCTCTCGCATCTTAAAGAGCTCATAGTACCTTACTATCCCACCAGAGCACTGTGCTCCCAGAATGCAGGGTTACTTGTGTTTCCTAGAGTCTCCAAAAGTAGAAAGGGAGCCAGAGTGTTCAGCTATCAAGCTCCTCTCCTGTGGACCTAGGTCCTAGTTTGGGTTCAGGAGGCAGACACCATCTCTACATTTAAGAGTAGGCTTTTTAATCCCAGCTTTATCTTGGTTATTTTCTCTTTCTTTTTCTACTGTATCCGTTTCTCTATGTCATTCTGTCCTGTTCTTCCAGGTTTCAAGCTACTGTTGGAGGTGTTCAGTGTAATCCATGGTCCTCAGGAGGAGTGTGTGCGGGCTCTGAGGAACGGCGACCTGTTGGGGATTTCTCCAGGAGGAGTGCGGGAGGCTCTGTTCAGTGATGAGACCTACCCTCTTCTCTGGGGCAAACGCAAAGGCTTCGCCCAGGTCGCCATCGACTCTCAAGTGGTGAGTTGTTGTTCCTGAAATCTGCTGTCACTGTTTGTCAGTCCTTTTGTTAAAGCTTCAGCATGGATTGCATAATATTGTATAATGCTGCATTACATAATGTCTCCCAGTACTCTTGCAGATGCAGTATACAGATTATTGCAACACTAAGCGAGTCCCTAGTACCATAGTACATTTTTTACATGTCACATTTATTTCACTTTGGCACATTAACTAGATACACATCTGTTTTATTAGTTAATTTTTAAGTTAACTTTTGATCACATTTGAGTTCATGGATGTGCTTGTTATTTAATCAAAAATTAACAATTAATTTAATTTATTAAATTAAATTTTATTAAATAGCTAAAGCTTGGTGCGTCATGTGCGTATGATGCCAGATTAGTATACCTTTTCCCCAATTTTCAAGTCTTCTTATACACATTTGATATTTCTCACACTATGCCTCGATTGTTTTGTAAAAAGGTTAGCTAAATTCAGTCTTGTTCCTCCACCCCTACAGTAAACTAAACAAGTGTCATAATGAAGTGCAGCATCTTTCTCACATATTATTCTCTGTGTAAGAACACTGCAGTGTAGAAAACCCTCCTCTCTAACCTTGTCTTTGTCTTTCTTTCAGCCAATAATTCCAATGTTTACTCAAAATGTGCGAGAAGGCTTCAGATCTCTGGGAACGCTCAGTAAGTTAAAATCACAAAAATAACATCACCAAGCTCATGGTAGCACTGATGGACACACACACCTTCAAGTTTACACAGGACACACACACACACAGGACGACTTAGCACAGGTCATTCAACGTATCAATGTATCGAGGTTGTTGCCCCTTCATGCTTCAGTCACATAGAACATATTTACAAATGTTTTAATTAGAATAGACTAAATGAAGAAGTCTCACAACCTGAGGGAAGAAGCTGCTCTGCAGTCTGGTGGTCTGACAGCAGACACTTCTGTATCTCTCTACTGTCCTTTAGTATCCTTTGGGCTCTTCTGAGCGTTTTTTAATCACTCGCTTCAGAGCCCTCCTGTCCTGGACCATGCACAACCCTTTACTATATTCTCTGACGCTGATACCCAGGCACTTAAAACTGTTCACCTGCTCCACCTCAGCTCCAATGATGGTCCTTGGTTTTGCCGACGTTAAAGCAGTTGGTTGTTCTCTAGGTTGATATCCTCGCGAGTCGCAATATGAATTATTTTGTTTGAATTTGTTGTTTCAGACTGTATGGAGAGCGTAGTGACTTACAATAATGTATTATTTATTATTACACACAGCACTTGTTGTAGTAGATACATTCAGTGTTGGTTTGCACGTGGAGTTTGTTGACAAGAAAAACACATCACCAAACCTATCCTCGAGATAGTGTGGTAGCAAAGGGAGTCCGCTGACCTGACCACTCTCTTTGTATTTTTCCATGTAACATGCTCTCTCTCTCTCTCTCTCTGTCTCTTTCTATCCAGGGTTTTTCCGCTGGGTGTATGACAGGTTTCGTCTCCCTATAGCTCCTGTTTATGGTGGATTTCCTGTGAAGTTTCGGACCTTTCTTGGTGATCCCATCCCATATGACCCCAACATAAACGCTGCAGAGCTGGCAGAGAAAGTCAGTGAGCTAAAGTTATTGTACTGCTGGGAAATGTGTTTGTTTGTTTGTTTGTTTCTCCTCAAATCATCTGAGCAGTGACCATTAAACAGTCCTTGGGGTTAAGAATGTGCTTAAATTTGTGCGCACAAAAAATAATCCATGCACTACCACATAACATTTAATAGTTGACATATTATCATATGCTTAAGGGACAACGCACGATGTTGTTCAAAAGTCAATCCAATCCAAAGTATATCGACGTATCTCTATCAAAAATCAAATCAAACTGCATACCATGTGCTGCTAACACTGAATGTTCCTCCCTAACTGACTGGAAGAGACGTAACAATTTGGAAATTTAAATTTAATCATTTCCACGTCTGGATAAATATGAAAAAAGTAAACAGACTATCTTTTCTATGTAAGGAAATTATACCTTTATGTTCATTGTGGTTTAAATGGACACAATGAATAAACAAGGCTGCACAGATTAAAATTATTTGCGGCCGCTTCAGGTGTAGTTGGTTTGATCAGCTGGAAGTGCAGCCTTTCTTTTCCTCTGTTTGCTTCTTTAGACTCTTTAGTAACGGCTAGTTTAGTGACTTGTTTAACAGACTCCTGACTCGTTTTCTACTTATACCACTGAAGGAAAAAACACTCGCGGAGATCTTTCAATTCAGTTTATTGATCGAAAGTGAACAAAATAATTCTCCACAGTTTACTTTCAACAAATGTATCATAAAATTAAAATCTTAAATTTGTTTCCCACAACTCATTTGCTCACTAAACTATTTCACTCCTCCTCTGTCATTCAAATACAAAAAACTCCCAAGCTGTAGTCTTTCCCCTTATGAAACCTAATTGGGATGAAGAGAATACAATTTCCCAGTTATTTGAAACGAAAAAAAATTAAATATTGCTTATCCATAACAACAATAAAAATAAATAAAAATAATAATAGGCTACCAATCAACTACTGTGGCTTCAACAGGTGGCATTTTATGCAAGGTAGTGAATGAAATCCTCTTTTGGTATCTGTATCATTTTAAGGGTACTGGTTTTGGTACTGGTATCGTAACATTTTAAACGATATCCAACCCTAGTCTTTATCTGGTTGAAGGGTTTCTTTCTTTATGAGTGGCAGCACCACCACTTACCACTGGAATGTGAAATTCTGATGGGTCCTAAACTATAAATCACCACTCTCATTGTGATTAAATCCGTGGGGTGTCTTCTTGCAGGATGTTTTATATTCATGTGAGCTGTTCCACAAAACACCGATCATTCGCACGTAGTATTGCTGAATGCTTTTTTTTACTCTTCAGGTGCAGCATGCAGTCCAGTCTCTGATAGACCAGCACCAGCAGATACCGGGGAACATCCTGAGAGCCTTGTTGGAAAGATTTCACACCAAACACAAAGACCATTAACATCAACAGTCCAGCAGTCCAGCTTGTGACTAAAACAACCCGTCACATCGGCTCAGGCGGCTGCAGTGTGCACAGGTTTGGTGGCCTAACATGTTGGAATATTTGCACAGCTTTCTTCACTGCCCCCAAACACTACTGACTGCAGCTGCTGAGGGTGTTTTTACATACAGTACATGTTCTTTGGATCGCACCTTTCTGATATGTATTCTTGTGTACATTGAGTCCCTTTTTATCAGATCATTCCCAGGATGAATCTGTTTCAGGACAGGCTTCCTGAAGTTGTTACTGGCTTTTTCAATACACACATGGACAGTATGTTTTTCTCGTGTTCTGATATCTTTGTCTTTAGTAATTACAGTACGGTGAGTTAAAGATAGACCTGTGGACTGATTGGTTGGTCGAACTACTGGTTAGATGTAATTGGTCTTTGTAACTATTGTCAGTTTAAATATACGGTATTCAGACGGTGATATAATTATTTTGGTCAACAAGAGATTCGTATTGATGGTTAGTCACTTAATTTGGTTTATTGTCCATGCCTATGAATTGCAGAGACTCTGCAGATGTTTGCTTGTAATGATGTACTGTAACAGCACTTTGAGTTTGCACAGCTTCAGTTTCACTTGACCTGGAGTAAATAATGGAACTTATTCTTGGGATCAGGCTTCAGGGTTAGATTAGAGTCTCAACAGGCAGAGGATACAGAGCTGAAGCCAGTGGTTATGGTTGGACCACTACAAAAAGTAAAAAGGAGTTTCATGTTGAAACCACCAGTATCATAATTGTCCCAGGAACACACTCTACACTGGCCTCAGGTTACAGCAGCATGGGGTAGATGAGGTTACCTTCTACAGTGGGGAGAACAAGTATTTGATACACTGCTGATTTTGCAGGTTTTCCTACTTACAAAGCATGTAGAGGTCTGTAATTTTTAATCATAGGTACACGTCAACTGTGAGAGACGGAATCTAAAACAAATCCAGAAAATCACATTGTATGATTTTTTAAATAATTTATTTGCATTTTATTGCGTGACATAAGTATTTGATACATCAGAAAAGCAGAACTTAATATTTGGTACAGAAACCTTTGTTTGCGATTACAGAGATCATACGTTTCCTGTAGTTCTTGACCAGGTTTGCACACACTGCAGCAGGGATTTTGGCCCACTCCTCCATACAGACCTTCTCCAGTTCCTTCAGGTTTCGGGCTGTGGCTGGGCAATACGGACTTTCAGCTCCCTCCAAAGATTTTCTATTGGGTTCAGGTCTAGAGACTGGCTAGGCTACTCCAGGACCTTGAGAGGCTTCTTACGGAGCCACTCCTTAGTTGCCCTGGCTGTGTGTTTCGGGTAGTCGTCATGCTGGAAGACCCAGCCACAACACCTCTTCAATGCTCTTACTGAGGGAAGGAGGTTGTTGGCCAAGATCTCGCGATACATGGCCTCATCCCTCCTCCTCTCAATACGGTGCAGTCGTCCTGTCCCCTTTGCAGAAAAGCATCCGCAAAGAATGATGTTTCCACCTCCATGCTTCACGGCTGGGATGGTGTTCTTGAGGTTGTACTCATCCTTCTTCTTCCTCCAAACACGGCGAGTGAAGTTTAGACCATAAAGCTCTACTTTGTCTCATCAGTCACATGATCTTTTCCCATTCCTCCTCTGGATCATCCAGATGATCTTTGGCAAACTTCAGACGGGCCTGGACATGCGCTGGCTTGAGCAGGGGGACCTTGCGTGCGCTGCAGGATTTTAATCCATGACGGCGTAGTCTTACTAATGGCTTTCTTTGAGACTGTGGTCCCAGCTCTCTTCAGGTCATTGACCAGGTCCTGCCGTGTAGTTCTGGGTTGATCCCTCACCTTCCTCATGATCACTGATGCCCCACGAGGTGAGATCTTGCATGGAGCCCCAGACCGAGGGGACCGTCATCTTGAACTTCTTCCATTTTCTAATAATTGCAGTTGTTGCCTTCTCACCAAGCTGCTTGCCTATTGTCCTGTAGTCCATCCCAGCCTTGTGCAGGTCTGCAATTTTATCCCTGATGTCCTTACACAGCTCTCTGGTCTTGGCCATTGCAGAGAGGTTGGAGTCTGTTTGATTGAGTGTGTGGACAGGTGTCTTTTATACAGGTAACAAGTTCAAACAGGTGCAGTTAATACAGGTAATGAGTGGAGAACAGGAGGGCTTCTTAAAGAAGAACTAACAGCTGTGTGAGAGCCCGAATTCTTACTGGTTGGTAGGTGATCAAATACTTATGTCATGCAATAAAATGCAAATTAATTATTTAAAAATCATACAATGTGATTTTCTGGATTTTTGTTTTAGATTCCGTCTCTCACAGTTGACGTGTACCTATGATAAAGTGTAGTGTATCAAATCAAATACACTACACCTGTGTATCAAATACTTGTTCTCTCCACTGTATATAGAATCCACGCCTACAACAAGAAAACATCATTTTTTATTACATAGTGTCCGTGATATTGACTATATAAATAATTACCAGTGGGTTTCCCTATCATTTAATTGAAGACCAGTACCCACCCGGCTGCCGTCTGGAGATACAGACGTATTCGCTGACTTCAGAGCAGTTTCTTTCCCCAGGCTGTGAGACTCCTCCATTCCTCCTCTACATGCCACCATAAATAATGGTTTTCTGTTTGGTTTTGTGTAAAATGAGGGGACACCTTACAGCTTTGCGTTTCGTTGTACAACCTGGTGTTGTTTAATGATAAATAAAGCCAGTGACTGGCTAATAGTTTCTGGGACAGTTTGCAGGAGCTTTTTCCAATATATTTACCATTATAGAATTGACACAGAGGCTGGACAAACACCTGGCGATGAAATTCAATCCAATATAATTCCATTTTTTGGTGAGACTGTCAAAGAGGTGTTGGTTCATTTCTTGGTTATCTGTGAAGCTGTAGTTTATGTTGTGTATTTAATTCGATTGTAAGGTCTTCCTATTATTTTGTCCATGGTTGCACAAATATCTTGGTATTTCCAGATATTCAGAATTAACCAAATCACAGACCCATGGTAAATAACTTGTGGAATGATTAATTCAACTTAGAAGATATACCGGAAAGCTTTTAAATAATTTATTAAGCAAGGGATTATTTTTGAGGTGTACCTTGAACCAGACTGATCAGTATCAGAACATGTGATGTTGCTTGCTTCAAATTGTAACACCTTTTCCTATTGGCTTTAAAAATAAGAGCAACCATCTTAATTTGAAACTATTAGATGGTCAACGTAAAATGAATCAACATGATTGGAAAGCATGAACTGTGAGGATTTGCTGCTTCTCTCTTTTTTATAATATTGGACTGTAAGTCAGACAAAACATTTGAAGACAGTACCTTGCTCTCTGGGAACTTATGATTACCATAATTTTTTGACATTTAAATTGATTAATTTAAAGAAAAAAATAATGATATCTATCATTGGCTGTAGCCCGACAAATAGCAGTGGACTTTGTTGTGCCTTGCCTCTGAAAATGCCAAAGTTGATTTGATTTTGATTTTATTGGACAGTAACACAAATAAATACATAAAAAGATGCCAACACAGTGACAGTATAAATCTATCAGAACTGTCGAGGATAACACAAAAAAGTTACAAACTTATGTTCATTGTGGTCCTCGTTGTAGTCTGATAAAGAAGGCAAGGCAAGCCAAGGATGACTAAAAGTACCCTATACAATCAACCCTTAAAATGAGCTGATAAGTTGTAGATTATTTGTTAGAGTTGATGCAGTAGGTGCCTTTTGTCAGTCAATGAAACTTCACATGATTGATAGGACTATATTTAGTTAAAGAGGGAGATATATGCACTCAACAAATATACAGAGAAGTTCAAAATGTATTAAAATAAAAAGAGATGACTGAAAACAATAAAATAGATAAACAATGTTAATGAGCCATAGCCAGACTAAAAAGGCAAATATTTTAATTCAACTCTAAGCTAAAGGATGGTACCAAATGCTTTACACTTTGGAATAACTCGTACATAGAAAAGCATTTCGAGAAGGCAGGTATAATGCAATGAAAAGATTTTGAAGCAACCAATGCGAGGAATGTAAAATAATTTGTGCTGTCCTTCTGGCCTGGAGAGATGAATTCACTTTAGCAGTTTTCAGAAAGAGAGAGAGCAGATTTGATTTAAAATCCCCTTTTTAAACATCATTCCCTCAAACCTTCATTAGACGCCTATTGATGTTATTATTCTTATGCATTATTGTCTAGGGTTTTTTTATATATTTTTTTTGCACAGATGCAGTTTTGGTGGGGAAAAAACTACATCCTGATATTCATGTGTTGATAGTTTTTACAGAAATCTTCACCACTAGTACTAACCAAATATTATCAACGTGTACAACACAGAAGAAGTGAAATTAAGGGCAAATAGAAATGTCTCAAGCTGAATTTAAGTAAATAACATCTAACCAAATGATCACTATTGGAGAACTTGTTTTGCGCTTCAGTCTGATTTCTATATTTTTCTGTGTGTGTGTGTGTGTGTGTGAGCAAACAAAACTGAGCCTTTTACCTTGACAGATACTGACTGCTCACCAAAACCTCAGTGTCCCCTTACAAAACTTAAGTATCTTCTCGCTGTAATATTTATCATATCAGTACAAATACTGATCTATCACTTTATTACTGCATAGTTTGTGTGTATAAACATACTATGCAGCAATAAAGATAATGATCTAAAAATAAATAATGATGTAATATGATCATATTTATCATTGTCGGTGCTTAATCAGCAGTGTTGTAAATCAAATAAACTAATCATTTATCATTTACAAATTGTGGGTTGGAGATTAAGTGTAATAGTCTGTGTGTTTTTACATATATATATATATTTGCATGTATAAGTATGTAAATATGATTCAACAAGGTGTTTTGCACTAAGTCTTCAAAGTATCACTGCCAACTGTGATTTTATTTTTCATTTTTAAAGACGCCTTTTGTGAGACCAAGTGTGTTTTTGAGATATCTAACTGCATGCTTTACTGCTGTTGCCTTCTTTCTTTCTTTATGTTGTTAGTTTTGAGATGACCTAACATACATTTGTAATTTGTGTCAATATAATATAAATGTTGCACTTTTAAATATTGAGATCCCATCAATCTGTTAATAAATCTATTTTATTAAGATTTTTCGTGTGAATTCCTTTTTGTTTTATTCACAGTTGCTTGTGTTGTAGTGGATCCACCCAGTGGGGTTTGTAGTAATGCAGTGAATCATGCATTAATGATGAAATGAGACTCTCACAGTGTTTTAATCATACACAGCTCTGAGTGGCTA